TGCTTTCCTCCATTTCTGCCATTTGTGACCTGTTTCTTTGTCTCCGCATTTTGGCAGCTTCCCTGTGTTGATAGAGTGGCCCTGCGCTCCAGGTGTCCTGTAGGGCCAGTGGCTCAGCCTCCCCAGTTACCTGGGGCGGACACTCTTGGTGCCTTGCTTGTTGTAGAATCACTGGGAGGAATTGACCTCTAGGCCAATTGGCTGTGAGAATCAGCTGTGTCTAAAGTGGGAGAACTTCTGTGCTGAAGACACCCTTCTGGGGCAAGACTTGCTTCAGTGGGGCTTTGGTGCTCACTGAGTCTGCTCCCTGAGTGTGTCCCTTATGGATCTGAGGAGTTGCAGTCTGGATGGTCCCCCTCTGACCACTGGGTACAGTGGCTCCTGGATCTAAGGAGGTGCTAATTCAGCCTCTGCCTGAGGCCACACAGCAGGAGCCACGAAGAGGCTCAGCTGTGAAGCTATGCAAGCCGCTGCGGGGCCTTGGGCCTTCTCTTGGAAGTTCCGGGTCTGCCTGGCTGGGCTGCAGTTAGGTACATTCACATGCAAAAGCCTCTGCCGCAGCCTGGGTGGGGCGGGGTCTCAGGGAATCAAAGGGCGGATCAAGGAGCTATGGCTGATTCTCCGCCCGGAGTCGCGCGTCTCAGTGACCCGCTAATTGCTGCAAGCACCTCTGAGGGAAAGCCGCCTTCAAGTTCGCCCGCTGCCGGACAGACCAGCTTCTCCCCGTATGAGTCCTGGGTCCCCAGAGACTTCCCGGAACCGGAGTTCAGAGCAGTCGGGAGCTTGTGATTCAAAAAGACAGCCTCGTCCTCAGGTGCCACCCCCTTTCCTCGCGCACGCGAGCCACCGTACCTCTGCACTTCACCTCCGCAGCGCCTCTGGCTCTCAGCGTGCTTTTCTTTCCTTCTAGTTGTAGAATTTACACTCAGCCAGCCTTTCTGTTGTTCTGGATGATGTTTGCTCAGTCCTTTGCGGTAATTTTCAATTGTTGTGTGAGGCGACAATTTCCCGGTGTTTACCTATGCCGCCATCTTAGTTTTCTCCTCAAGTTTATTCCTCTTAATGAATCGTTGAACTTTTTTGTTTTGTTTTGTTAATCCTCACCCAAGGATATTTTTTCCATTGGTTTTTAGAGAGAGTGGAAGGGAGGGGTGGAGAGAGAGAGAAAACATTGGAGTGAGAGAGACATAGTGATTAGCTGCCTCTGGCACTCGCGCCCCTCCCTCCCCCCAGGGTGGGGAATGAACCCGCAGCTCAGGTGCATGATTGGGAAAGAGCTGCCAGAAAAGAACCATGGTCGTTTAGGAAGCCTGTCTAGTCCAGGCCCTCCTAACAAACGTATTTTCAGGAGAAGCAGCACAGTTTCCGCAGTGTGCTAAGCTTTGCCAAGACTTCCTGCCTGTGAGTGAAGCCGGGTGAGGTTGGCGGAGGCCCCCGGGACACGCCCCAGCACGAGGGATCTCACATCTGTGTCTGGCTGGCCGGGCTTGGGTTTTCAAGGAGGGTGGATGGAGTCAGGTGTGTGGTACAGACTCTGTGGTGATGGGATCATCCTGTCCTCACCTGGCCATTAGTCCTTTGTCCCCTGAGCCCCTTTTTTGTATTAAAGGGAGGGGCTTTGTGACAGTACTTGCCACCTCGCAGAAGATCTGGCTGGCAGGTAATGGCCAGTGAGAGATGAGCCAGCCGTACGTTAGAGACTGTAGTCATCCTTTCTATAAATGCTCTCATGCTGGAGAGGACGGCGTCCTGACAGGGAACTGTCATGCTCACTGTCCATCTCATCACTCAGTGACCCTCCCTCCTTTCGCAGTCGGACATGTACAGCTTGGGCGTGATCCTGTTGGAGCTCTTCCAGCCGTTTGGAACAGAAATGGAGCGAGCACAGGTTCTAACGGGTCTGAGAACTGGTCAGATGCCCGAGTCCCTCAGCCAGAGGTGTCCCGTCCAAGCCAGGTGCATCCAGGAGCTAACCAGAAAGAACGCGTCCCAGAGGCCGTCGGCTATGCAGCTGCTGCAGAGCGACCTTTTCCAGAATCCCGGAAGCGTATGTACATATTTTTTAAAGCTGGGGAAAATATGGAGCTTAGAATTCGTTTAAATTGAGTCCTATTTCATGAAGAACAGTAGAGCTTACAGTAAGGTTTATGCAAACAGTATCTGAACCCATTCGCAAGAGTTCCCAGTCTAAGTGCACACGATGACCCCTGCCAGCTGCCTGCTCTAAAAATTGTAATTACGGGCTTCATCTCGCTAAGCCAAAAGGTGCTTGCTAGTTTTCCTTTCCAGCGCTGGTGTGTAACCTTTCATAAATGATTCTAACATGCCTGCCAGTAAAAAGGGACACAACAGAGGGTAAAATCACAGCAGTCATTCTCAGCGGGTGAGCAGGGGTGCCGGAGACCGCCTGAGCCAGCCTGAGGTCTTCAGCATTCACGTGCGATTCTGGCGCTCCGTCCTGTGCATGGCATTGCCCCGGGCAGCCCATTCCCTTCCTCCCACCTGACCCGTAGCATGCCAGCCCCTCATCTGCAAGTATGACTCATCCATTCTGGCAACACGACTCATCTGTTCTGTTCCTTGAGAAACTTGCTGAGAGTTAAGAGCTTGATTCAAACATATGCGCACAGATCCTAGAGCACTTTGCCACTCAAAGTGTGGTCCTCAGACCTGCAGCAGCAGCATTATCTGGGGTTTATTAGGAACACAGGATCTTAGACTCCACCCGGATCTGCTGAGTCGGAATCTCCTTACAAAGACCGAGTGGTTTACATACACAGTTGCCTGAGCAGCACTGCAGAGAGCAGTGGTTGTCTGTCTCCAGACCAGCAGCATTAGGTCACTGGAACTTGACAGAATTCTCAGGCCCTCCCGCACACCTCATTCAGGGGTGGGGGCAGCCATCTGTGCTTTAACAGGCCCTCGAAGTGATTCTGGTGCCCACTAATTTGGGAACCTCTTATAGTAACTGTTTAGTTGATTTATCTCCTACTCAAGGCTTATTAATTTTCAAGTAAAACTGAATCTTACTAGCTTGAATGATAAACAGGCAGATGGGGTACTTTTCTGAGACTTTGAAAACGGCAATGTGGTTATTAAATGACCTCAGATGGAAGGGATTTCTCACTCCCGGTTAAGGTAGCTTTTAGAGACCAAGTATTTGTGTTTATGGTAAGGATGTCTCCTGTCTTATAGAATTTTTTATAAAATAAAACCATGCAGAGGGGTCTTAATAATCCAGGGGGGAAGTTAGGATTATTCCATGACTTTAAGAGTGTGTATCAAAGCATTGAAACTCTTACGGAAATGAAAAAAACACCTGTAAAACTAATATTTAGTGCAATATAATTGAGAAAGTGTTTCAAGAGTAGTTTGAACAATGCCCGCCTCCCCTATAACTCAGGGCGGCGAATTGTCGTGCTCCTGGCTACGTTTGGATCAGCTTCCAGCACCTGGTCTTGGGCACTTTCGATGTGAAATGTCTTCTTGAGTTCACAGAATGTGAAGTTTTTGCTGGTGTCACACTCTGGGGCAGCGCCATCATTTTCCTCCATGTGTTGACAAGTCCCTTTCCTTGGTTCGTGGCTGCCCACCCCGTCCAGTGGCAGCAGGGCCAGCATTTCCAGGTCAGCTGTTTCTCCTGTGACAGTGTTTTGGGTTGACTCGATTGCCACTGCCAGCATTACCACTTCTCATTGGCTGCTGTCCTTGGCCAGTCCCCTTTCAGTTGTCCATTTTTGAAAAAAATGCCACTTGGGTTCTATCACTGGGACAGGGAGACAGCCTGGCTACACACATGGCCTGTGTGTGGACTAACAGATGCACTGACAGACTTTGAGTGACAGGATGACTGTCCGGATCAGGACGTCTATCGGCTAGTGTTTTGTGGATAAACTTGTGGTAACTGACATTTGAACCACGTTGCTGGGTTACTGGCCTAATTTCACTAAACTGATGACTGGATCCATGCATTTTGGGACTGTGCGAAGTGAGGCATGCTTGTGTATTTAAAAGGAAAGAAGCCATTTTAATGGAGCTTAAACATTTCTATTTCAGGTCAATCTCACCCTGCAAATGAAGATAGTAGAGCAAGAAAAAGAAATAGAAGAACTAAAGAAGCAGTTACGCCTCCTTTCTCAAAACAAAGGGGTGAAGGATGACATGAAAGATGGGGGTGTTCCTGTCTAGCTTAGTCTCCAGAAATATAAAAATGAACTTCAACTCTATAAGCTAAACCCAACTGGAATATATAATTTCAGCCTTAGGGTAGAGATGGTGAAATACTTGGTTTTAGTCAGGAGCTTGTACATGATTTATTCAAGTGAGATTGCATTAGTACCACCACCTACTTCCTTAAGTAGCCCTTTCCTGACCCAGCATCGGAACTCGACTGCTCTAAACACCTATTGTACTCTTTCCTGTCTTTTGTCCCACAAGCTCCTTTTCCTGATTTCTTAGTATTAGTGTCTGTCTAGTCTCTCAGACTAAAAGTTTAGGCATCAGCATCAGTTCTTTTTCTTTTGAACTCTGTCCCCCTCTAGAAGCTTCTGCAGAAATCTGAGTGTGCTCCACACCCAGTCACCACCCAGATCCAGCCTGCGCACGAGCTGGGCTTTTTTTAAGCCTCTCACACGCTGCCAGTCAACCGCCAGGACATCTCAGTTCACGCCAGGCTCAAAAGCCTTCGCTGCCTCCAAGAGAACACTTCAGCTTGGCAGTGTATGTCGCCCAGTCTATTTCTGTCCTCATCACCTTCAGCTTGGCATCATCATGCCCTTTCAGAGCTCTGTACTTCATGCCCCGAAATGATTTCAAAGCAGCTCGGCGGCCAGGGTTCCTGACTTTGCCCCTGCGTTGTTCTTCACAGCGCCGGACTCCTGTGCTCCTCCAAGTCAGCAATCTGACATGCTCATCTTTGCACTCAGGCGCCTGCCGCCTGGCTGGCAGGTGGTGTGGTGTACTGCATGTGATACCGCTGAATTTTAAATAAAACAGACCCACAAGTTACACGGTGCTTTTATTGGTACTCCACAACTGGCCTAAAGACCGGTTTTAGTACAAGTCCCTTTACCAACAACAGGCATGAAACACCACCATTCTTACAATCTAAACCCTTTACAATCACTTCCTGGGGTTCACTTAAGGAGCTTGAGGGCAGAGCTGAAAGGGGCCAGGTTCTCACAGGCCCGCATCCACTTCTGCACGTTGGCTGGCACGGGCACGCTGCAGCCCCCCGCCTGCTGGAGCACGGACCAGAGCACCACGTCCGCCACGGTCAGTGTGTTCCCCACGAGCCAGGGGCTCTTCCCGAGAGCAGCGTTCATGGAGCCGAGCACGGCGGCTTTTTCTTTGCTGCTTCCTTCTTTTAACTGAAAAATGGCTATATCTACCCAGCGATCGATGAGGGTTAAGTTTACCGCATTATGCTTCTGGCCGAACAGAGAGAACAAAAACCGTGCGATGTTCCCTTCCCCTTCGATGGGGCACATCCTCTGGACACTGAACTTCATCTGGGTCTTGGGCACTGAAAGGAAAACACCCTGAATGTCAACAGGAGCAGCACCCGGAGAAGCACTTGTCCACGCGGGGAGGGGATCCACTCACCGTGAACTGGTGGCAAGGGAAGGTGTACTTTCAGAGAAAAAAAATCACATGTTTTAGGTGAAACATTAAAGTTTAAGCTATGTTTAAAGAGTGCAGACTATATGTTAGGCAAGTAATCACGTCTGGTACTTGACCCTGACAGTTTTCAAACTAGAAGGGACCTCAGACCATCTACTCCAGCCGTGTCTGGATTTGCAGGATGAGGACGAAACCAGGAGTCCCCTCGCCCAGGTCAGAGACTTGAGGCCTCCCTGGGCGAATGGCATTACCTCACTTCCCTCTGTATAAAGGTCACCAGGGGAGGCATTCTTTAGTGGGATAATGAGTAAATGATACCCTCATCCTTTTATGTCCATCTGAATAGAAAACATCACTGTCCCCGTAATGATAGGTTTTGGAATGTGAGGGCAAGGCGGCCATGACAGCTGCTACTCCCCTGCTCCGGCTGGCTAGACAGGATCCCCCTAAAGCTGCATTCCTCTTCTAGGCCGCCTGACAGCACGTGGCTGAAGGACATCACTGTGCTAGCCCTCGCTGCCTTTTACTAAGATCATAGTGCACATTCCATTACATAGGATAGGGAACCCAGTCCCCTCTACTTACCATTCTTCCAAATGAGAGTAAAGCCCAGCTGGTACTCATGACGGGGCGGGTTCTTAGTCTGCTCGCCAAAGCACCTGAGGAGGTTTACTGGCACGTTCTTGACCGCTGAATGCGTGTGAACAGTGGACAGGACCTTGTACTGGTCGCAGAGCAGCTGGTGCAGCACGAGCAGGGAGAGGGGAGGCGAGGCGGGGTTCGCATTGATCACGATGTCTTTCAGGGCCCCGTAATCCTGGGGGCGGGGGGACCCAAACAGCAATCTGAGCGTGTACTGGTACCAGGTGCTATTCCTACACCCCAATGCCCACGAAGAAGGTGCCATCACCCCACCTCACAGCTGAAGTGAGTCCTGGGGCGATAACGTGACTCATCCAAGGTCACTCAACTCAGGGAGGGGAGCTGGGCTCTGAGCTGATGCCAACCCCGAACCCCTGCATTGCTGGCTCCTGACAGAAAGCTGACTTTCACTGTCAAATTAGTAAAACATGTTAGGAATGACACTTCTGTTTGTTCCCAAGTTAAAAAAATCACATGCAATTATAATCGGCCTTTCATGTCTATGGGTTTCACACCTGCAGATTCAAACAACTGGGGAATGAAAACTATTTCTTTTGTTGTTAATCCTTTCCTGAGGATATTTTCCCATTGATTTTAGGTAGATAGGGAGGGAGGGAGGAATATTGATGTGGGAGACACATATTGATTGGTTTGCCTCCCTTGTGGGTCCTGACCAGGGTTGGGGGTCTAACCTGCAACCCAGGTACGAATGTGCCCTGGACTGGCAATCAAACCCTCAGCCTTTCGGTGCAGGGGCCAGTGCTCTAACTATTGACCCACACCGGCCAGGACTGAAAACTTCTTGATCCACGGTTGGGGATCTGCAGATTATATGCATTGTCCTGTCATGTCATGGAAGGGACTTGAGCATGTACAGATTTTGGATCTGAGGGGACCCTGCAACCAGTTCCCCACAGGTACGGAGGTAGGACTACATTCCGTTTACCAACTCTTTCTAACACCTGACCCCTAACAGCGTCTCGTTTCTGTACCTACACCAATTTGTGTTTGCGCTGTGTTGAAGCGTCTCTTGGAGTCAATCTGGCCTCTGGTCTTGCTCTCCTGACCGACGCCCTTCACATGGGCCATGATGAATGCTTTGCAGCTGTCTGACCACAGTGTGTCACTTGACACTGTGCCTTCTGAGGTATCCACATTCATCTCAGGCAGCACGTGCCCTGGGGAGCCTTCCCAGTGTCTGAGACTGGCACCGCTGACTCACCACGGGGCCTCTGCACACAAACGTACTGGGTGACAAAGGGACACGTGTGGAGAGGTACGGAGGTTACAGACACAGCCCCGGGAGAGACTGTAATCCCACCTCCATTTTTCAGGTCAAGCAGTACCATTTCTATTGCCAATTCTGCAGGAGAGTATTAGCAGGGATTCTTGGGACAAACCCTTTACACCAGCGGTTCTCAACCTGTGGGTCGTGACCTCTTTGGGAGTCGAACGACCCTTTCACAGGGGTCGCCTAAGACCATCCTGCATGTCAGATATTTACATGACGATTCCTAACAGTAGCAACATTACAGTTACGAAGTAGCAATGAAAATAATTTTATGGTTGGGTTACAACGTGAAGAACTGTATTTAAAGGGCCAGAAGGTTGAGAACCACTGCTTTATACCTACACTAAATATTACTTCGTAATAAGACATTCTTTCCTTACCTGTCTCTTTATACCCTAAATTAGCTGAATACTGTAGACTGATCATTAAAGGTGGCCAATACAACTTAATTTTAATAAAGCAAACTGAATTTCGCAAAATACACTTGCAATATGGCACTGTGACTGGCTCTTGTTGAGATGTTTCAACAGGATTGGTGGGATTTTTGTGTGCAGCCAGAGCCCTGAAATTCAGGCTACTCTCAGAGTCGGGGTTGACGGCTGACCCTGAGCAGCACTGAGGGGTGACTTAAGGTCTGTTTCTCCAGGGCTCAGGCTGCCGGGATGCTGCCGGGACTGGGAGAAGCTGTACTGGACTCCCTTCTCTTCAGCATGGGTCTGGGAGGTCAGCAGCAGCAGCTTTAGAATTTGCTGTGGCTTCACCAGAGCTCATGCGCCTATTCGGTGCAACGGCACAACCACGCAGGGGAGAAAAGAACGTGCTCCGTCCCACCTCCGAAAACTAGCGAGCCCAGGCCTCACTCGCATGAGCACCAACCACCCAGCATGCTGACGTTCTTTAGTTTTAAGTGAACTCACCTTCCCAAGGACTGAATTTAAGTCCAATGCATTGGCTGATAAAGCGGTGCGCTGTTCGGCTTGGATTATGTTGGTTACATCCAAGTCCGCATCTGGCGTCTGAATCATCTTGGAGAGACCATCGACTGCGGCTTTCAATTCGTACAGACGTTTTAAAATGTTATCTTGACGGGACTCCAGAGCTTGAAGAGATGGGTCAGACCCTCCCTAAGCAAACCAACACCAGAGTGTTCATTTCCTCGATCAGAGCAGTCTGCTTAATTTGATCACTTTTCTTCTGCTTAGATCCTCAAATTCATCAAACCTCCCACCTTTTAAAAAACAGTAAAATGAACTAGCAGAATCTCATTTCTCCCATAGACTAATAGGTCCTGCAAGCAGATCCACAAATGCTTTAAAATAAATAAAAAACATGACTGAAAGCCCCTTTGTATGACTAACTTCGGGGCATTTAGTCTAAGAACAGAGAGAGATAGAAAATAAATACAAATTGTTCTTTATTCATATCAAAACACTTTGCTTGAACAAATAGAAAAAGGGGGGCAGTGAAAACATAACTCAATTTACACTCTATAGCAGGGGTGGGCAAACTTTTTGACTTGAGGGCCACAATGGGTTCTTAAACTGGACCGGAGGGCCAGAACAAAAGCATGGATGGAGTGTTTGTGTGAACTAATATAAATTCAAAGTAAACATCATTACATAAAAGGGTATGGTCTTTTTTTTTTATTATTCATTTCAAACGGGCTGGATCCGGCCCGCAGGCCGTAGTTTGCCCACGGCTGCTCTATAGGAAAAGGGAACACACATAGGTTAAAAAAAAGTGTTCTTTGGCTTGTAAGTCTCTCCGGGGGTCTAATGGTCAATTCCCCAAATCATTCACTCTCAGGGCAGCACTGGCACTCTCACTGTAGAATCACCTAGAACTTTTCCCCGCTGACATGTATAAACATGGAACACTTACATTCTTCATTCACCGAACCTTTGCGTCTTTTCTTACCTGGTATAGTGACTGGTACACAGTTACCAATAATGTTTATAATAAATCTCAAGTCAATCTAGATTTAGCTTATAAAGTAATATCAAGAAACCTCCCAGTAGAGTCACATTGTACTACCTATCTCCAGATTCCTGAGCTCTCACAACAGACCATCCACTTTGAGTTGAGAAAATAAAACATGAGCTAAATGCTTGTAATGAGAAAGGGCAGGAACATGGCAATGACCTTGAGTTATTATAAATATGCATTCGTGATACAATGCGAGTGTAAGTGTACTTGCTCACAGTTGAGTGCTGCTAAGTTTAATTCTTGGGAACATCTGTTCCCCCTAGTCCAGTGATGGCGAACCTATGACACGCGTGTCAGAGGTGACACGCGAACTCATTTTTTGGTTGATTTTTCTTTGTTAAATGGCATTTAAATATATAAAATAAATATCAAAAATATAAATCTTTGTTTTACTATGGTTGCAAATATCAAAAAATTTCTATATGTGACACGGCACCCGAGTTAAGTTAGGGTTTTTCAAAATGCTGACATGCCAAGCTCAAAAGGTTCGCCATCACTGTTTTAGTCACTCCTAACACTTCCCTCTCATTTGGATCAATTCACCACTAGGTGCTGGAAATTTTCTGGAATTCACTTGCTTCTAAGCGTGCCTGCTCCACTGTCACTGCCCAAGTTCAAGGCACCGTTTTTTTCACCTGGTTTACTTTCATTGGTCACCTCACACCAATCTACAAGATGGCAGCCAGAGAGAGGAAAACAGAGGCAGACCCTGTCACCTCCTCCCCAATGCTAACCTCCTAAGCTAAAAAGCAAAGCCCTTACCCTGGCTTGATGAAGAGTTTGTATGATTTGCTCTCTGGCTGCCTCCTTTCACATAATTCTCTTCCTGCTCTGTCTCTAGCCATACAGTCCATGGGATTCCTAAAACACACCATGCCCCCAGTGGCCACTGGACTTTTCTTCATTCTGTTCCCTCCATCTACAACATTCCTCTTTTATCTCATCTGTTTAACTCCTCTTTACCCTATAGCTGAATTGCCACCTTCTCCCCTCTCTTGCCTGATGCTCTTGTTTAAGGTCAAACAGCAAAAATATAAGGTGATTGACTTCTGGGTGGAACAAAGAACAATAAACAGTTCCGTATGCCACTTCAATAATAAGGTACTGAAAATAGACCGAACAGTGGAACAACCGAACCGGTCGCTATGACGTGCGCTGACTACCAGAGTGCACGCGAGTGGAACATGGCAGGCGTCGGCAGTGGTGGGATGGTGAAGCAGGTGAGCGGGGGCTCCAGACCAAGGCAGGGCACCAGTCGCTGTCATTGGGATGAGCCTCTGGTGGTTACTGAAAATTCTTTGCTCCTGGGCGCCAGTCACACAGGGAACTCGCACCCATTGCTGGCACTGGAGCTGCCGCTTGCACCTGCTGCTGGTGCCTGGCGAGGGCCTCAGGGCTTCTCCATCTCCCCCTGCTCCTGAGGGGTGACTGGGGCTGGCAGCCACCTCTTGCACCGGCTGCCGGCCCCAATCGCTCAGCACCTCAGGGTGCGAGCGGAGCCAGCACCATCAGTGCATGCGAGCAGTGGCAGCAGGAGCAGGGCTGCCGGCCGATGGGACAGGGGGCTGCAGTGGGAGGGTCCGAGCAGGGGCGAGGAGGATGGGCTGAGACCCATCCCTGTGCCCACCGCAGCCTCACAACCCACAGTTCCTTTCAAGGTGCACGACTTCGTGCACTGGGCCCGTAGTATTAATAATTAAAGGGCCTCAGCATAGCTGGATCTCACCCCTTGATCTGAGGCATAAGGAAATGCTCAAATCTGCTTATCATCCCTTTTAATGTTGGGCTGTTGTTTTTCTTGCTCAGACGAGACTATGACTTGGCCTATGTGTTTACCCACTTGTTTCATACGTATTTAGAAGCAGTTATTCTTCCAGTTGCTCTGCTCAGGCTGGATTTCTAATTATCTGTCTACCCACACTGCCAACATCTACTACAGAAGGGGGACTTCCAAAGTTATAAGCTTTGGGGAGGATGCCAGCATCAGGAAATGTATACACTGCTGGTGAGAGCCTATATCAGGGCAACCACTCTGCAAAGCGATTTATAGTATCTAGTACTTACCTGCCCGCCGAGTCAGCAATTCCATCCCTAGTGAAATACCCTATGCCTGCTCCTGTACAAAAACACTCACTGCAAAATGAAGCAGCTTACAATGCAGCTTTACAAAGGACCCGGCATCCATGAGCAGTGGGATGGGCCAACAGCGGGGTTCCAGTTAACGCGTTGGGACAGCAGACCCGCAGACAGGACAAAGACTGCATTTCACGCAACAAAGCGAGTCCTGAAATCATGTCTAGAAGCAGCAGCCAGACACAAGCCACCAAACTGCATGCTTCCATTCACGTGGCTTAGGGATGCATCCTTAGGTGGCGCAGTAGGAGAGAAAAGCAGGACACGATCACGGAAGTCGGGCCCTTTGGGGTACTTTAAGTGGGGCACTGACAACGTATGTTAACCTGGGTGACACTGGTTATTCTTAAAATGGTCATCGACGTGCTATACACTTTTCTGTGAGTAAAGTTTAAGTAGTTATAAGCGAATAAAGAAAACTGATACACGACCCGGGTCTGGAGGGATCCTGGGCCCTACTCGTGCATCCCCGCCGGCTAGGCCACGGCGCCTGCGCACTGAGCGGTCGGGAGGCCTTGGCGCCTGCGCACTGAACGGACGGGAAGGCGGGGGACGGAGGTGGGGGGCCGCGCGCTCCTACCTGCACGTGGCCCGCATTCTGCGCCGGGCTGCTGGTTGGGCGGTGCACGTTGGGGAGCCGGTACATGCAGGTGGGGAGCTCAACGCGGAGAGATGAGCCACCCTCGTGATAGGGCTTTACCTGGTACATCGGCATCGTGGGAACCACAGGAGTGACGGTGGCGGGTGAGGGACACGACCGCCCAGAAACCGTCAGACTACCACGTCCCGCGGCCACCTCCTTTCTGATCCGGATTCGGGCGTTCGGGGAAACTCACAGTTCGTGTGCTCTAATTGGCTCGGGTTCTCTGACGTCACGGCCCAGATTTTTCATACCACCAATCAGCGAGAAGGAGATGTGAGCCTCTGTTTCCGCCCCACCCGGAAGGGGTGGCACAGTTTCAGAAGCAGCCAATGGGCGGCTCGGAGGCGGGGCACCCGTGGGAGCGGCGGTAGGAACTGTCGCGAGTCCCAGAGCGCGTCAGGCTCCGCATCCATGGAACGAGCCGAAGCGCTGAGGTGAGCGGTGCTTGCAGTCTCCCCTCGCCGTCGTCCTTCGTCCTTTTTAAGGCGGACGGCGTTCCTGCAAAGGAGGGGGAAATGCCCAGGGCGTGTGGGGATCCTTCCGGCCAGCAGGCCCCGGAGAGGGCTCCTCAGCGCTCCGCTCACCACTGCCACCTCGCGAGCCCGGTGCGGCCGGGTCGGCGGGGGATCGGCCCGCGCCCAGGCTGGCTGAGCCCAGACGCCGCCACACGTCCATGGACGTGAAGTCGGGCCTGAAGTCCCAGTGCACTGAAGGCTTCTCTCCTTTTGGGGCAAAAAAAAATTGAGGTTATTTGGAGGAGGCTTCAAGGGACCTGCTGATTTGCATGGCCGCCGTTTAAAAAATGCAGAACCTTTCTCTCTGCTTAGAATGCGATCACTGGCTGGCAGGCCACACCGAATTCGGGGTCGCGAACCTTCCTTCGGCGGGTTCCCTGCGTTCAGTGTCAGATCCCTGAGCCCAGGTTCGCCGTGTTTCAGTGTTTTGGCCCCCACCCCCCAGAGTCAGTATCAGAAATGGACCCGAGGCCTGTGGCTCCTTCCTGTGTCCTGTTTCACCCAAGTTACCACCCCGTTGACGAGGAATTGTGCGGTTCATGCACATGTGGAATGCGTTCTTGGGGTTTGCCAGGCAGGAGAGGGAGAGGGGCGCCGTCTAGAGTGAGAGGCCGAAGAGACCGGGAGCAGTGAGCACCATGGTGGGGTCTCGTCGAAGGGAGGCCTGGAGAGAAGGGGCCGGTGGAGCAGGCTGGGTTCGGTTGCGACTACACGTTACACTCCATGCAGCAGGCTGTTTTTCAGCAGAAACATTGTTTGACCAGACGGGTGCTTTCTGAAGGAGCGGTGGTGGTAGCCCGGAGGATGGGTTGGAGTCGGGAGGAAGTGGAGACGAACAGGGTTGGAAAACGCCTACAGCAGGTGCAGCCCTAGCCGGGTGGGCTCAGTGGGTGGAGCGTCGGCCTGCGGACCGAAGGGTCCCGGGTTCGATTCCCCTTGTCGGGGCATGCGGGAGGCAACCGATCGATGTGTCTCTCACTTGGATGTTTCTCTCTCTCTTTCCACTCTCAAAAAATCAATGGAAAAATATCCTCCGGTGAGGATTACAAAAATAAATAAAAAAGCAGGTAGAGCCAATACTTTGAGGGCCTTTAAGGCAGCAGCTGGCAGCCTGGACTGGGAGTCGGGATTCAAAGGCAGCTATGGGAACAGTTTTACAACCGGCACCCACCCAGGTTCTCCGATGGCTTTGGTTTTGACATAAGCCCTTTGTATTTCCCATCATTCTCTTGGTTTTGCAAATTGTGTGAGAATTGTTGCTTTCTCTTCTCAAGAAAGAAGATCCCATTCTTGCAAGAAATTATTGACCCATTGATCCATAGATTGAGGGGCACATGTGTCTCCCCCATGTAGATCCCGGCATCATTAGATTTTTAGATTTCTATTGCATTCGTAGCATCTAAGTCAGAGGATTTTTTGACAAACGTTTCAGAATTGTAGAACAACATTTAGTATTTGTGAATGTAATAAATGCTTGTGTTTGTATAATAAATGAACATGTTAGCCCCGTTAGCTATTAGCAGAGATGAATCACTTCCTACCGTTGTAACCGGGATGGAAAGTACGTAAATGCACCCTCGCCTTGTTTCTTGTAACTGGCTCCTTTAGTGCAGAACTTGCCAAGGTCGTCAAGCCTCTCGATCGGAGGTCCGTCCATCAGGTCTGTTCGGGGCAAGTCGTCCTGAGTCTAAGTTCTGCCGTGAAGGAGTTGGTGGAAAACAGCGTGGACGCCGGTGCCACTAATATTGGTAAGTTTGGGAGACTTAAGCCCCAAGAAATAGCCAGCTGATGCTGTTTTGTTCATGTAACATTTGTTACTGTCATAAAACACTCAATTATACTTTTAACTTCAAGTTAGTTAATAAAGTAAATTACTATGTGCTAGGTAGTAATAATAATAGCAGTTGACTTTCATTGTGTTCTTGCTATGTGCTAGGCAGACATTGTGTTAAGAACTATGGATGGGATACCTTATTTAATCTGCAGAATAATCTTATGAGATAGGAATTATTACTATTGTTACTACTATCTTTATTTAACAAAGGAGGAAGTTAAGGCGCAGGGAATTTACTTTTTTTTTTTTTTTAGGTTATAAAGCTAGTAAAATATGACCCCAGGAAGTCTGATTCCAAAGCCCGTTTTCTTTAATGAGTATGTTAAAATTACTCTTTTTAGCCCTAACTGGTTTGGCTCAGTGGATAGAGCGTCGGCCTGTGGACTGAAAGGTCCCAGGTTTGATTCCGGTCAAGGGCATGTACCTTGGTTGCAGGCACATCCCCAGTGGGGGTTGTGCAGGAGGCAGCTGATTGATGTTTCTCATCGAAGTTTCTAACTCTCTATTCCTCTCCCTTCCTCTCTGTAAAAAATCAATAAAATATATTTTTTAAAAATTACTTCTATAAAAAAATTATTCTTTTTAAAGAGAGAAAAGAAAGGAAAAAATAAAAACAGAACTATTTTATTAGTGCTAGTAAATAGCAAAGAAGGACTTTAAAAAATAAAATGACAATAATACATTTAAATAAGTGTAGTTATGACTCAAATTTGCATATGTATGTTATAAATACTGTCAATATAAGGCTTTTACATGGATCAATTCTTTGAAAAATTTTTTATCCTTAGATCTAAGGCTTAAAGACTATGGGGTGGATCTCATTGAAGTTTCAGACAATGGATGTGGGGTAGAAGAAGAAAACTTTGAAGGCTTAAGTAAGTTGAATTTTTCTAACCCTGTTTTAAAATATGTAGGCCAAATATTTCAGAATGTTGAGTAAACGGTAAAACAGCTTGTCAAAGCCAGTTACTTTGGTGGGCATTGTGTATGCTCACTGCTATACCCCTTCAGGTATCCTGAGCCTCACTTTGCACCTCTCTTCCAGCTCTGAAACATCACACTTCTAAGATTCAAGAGTTTGCTGACCTAACTCAGGTTGAAACTTTTGGCTTTCGGGGGGAAGCTCTGAGCTCACTTTGTGCACTGAGGTGATGCAACATTTTTATCTACTAACTTGACTGTTTGTAAAAAATCTTTCTGAAAATTAAAAAGCATAATTGGAATCATTATTATTTACACCTCTTTGTCTTGAGTGTCTCAACTTTTCACTTCTGCATTCTGTTTTATCTTACTATCAATCTAAGTGATAATGCCTCTCAAATGTAAGCAATGAATGAATGAAATGAAGCATATAGTATTGTAAAAAAATTGTTACCCTTAGTCAAGCAGTGACTTCTCAGTTTTTTAAAAAATATATATTTTTTTATTGATTTCAGAGAGGAAAGGAGAGGGAGAGAGAGATAGAAACATCAATGATGAGAGAGAATCATTGATTGGCTGCCTCTTGCATGCGCCCCCACTGGGGATCGAGCCCGCAACCCGGGCATGTACTCTTGACCAGAATTGTTGTCCACAGGCCAATGCTCTATCCACTGAGCCACACCAGATAGGGCTGACTTCTCAATTTTAAAATAACAGAGATAATAAATTATAGATGCTATTGGTTTTAACTTCAATTTTTGAACTATAATATCTTTTATATCCTTTTAAAAATTTTGTTAGAACACTAGAAACCAATCAGAAAGAAATGTTTATTTGTGAATATATAAGTTTTGAGATCTTTTACTCTTTTGCAGTTTAAACAAATTTCAGTTTTTATCAAAACAAAGCATTTACAGCTGGCTGGTGTGGCTTAGTGGTTGGGCATCGATTTATGAACCAGGAGGTCATGGTTTGATTACTGTCAGGGTTCATGCCCGGGTTGCGGGCTCAATCCCCAGTGTGGGGAGTACGCAGCAGGCAGCTGATCAGTAATTCCCTCATCACGGCTTCTATCTCTCCCTCTCCCTTTCTCTCTGAAATCAATAAAAACATATTTTTACCAAAAATCAACAAAAAGAATTTTCAGAACTTTGTCATACCTTAGATTTTATGATGATCCCTCACCCATTTGAACTCTTTTGATTATCTCAGAGGGTTCATCATCTCTTAGTCTTGAGAGAACAAAAGTGAGAAAGTGAGCGTGTGAGGTCCTGATCGCCAGCACCTGATCTGACTGACCTGGCCACCCCTGGCATTCTCTTCCAGTGACGTCACCATTTCTACCTGCCACTCGTCTGCGAAGGTTGGGACTCGACTGGTGTTTGATCACAATGGGAAAATTACCCAGAAAACCCCATTCCCACGGCCCAGAGGGACGACAGTCAGTGTCCAGCAGCTGTTTTACACGCTGCCTGTGCGCCATAAGGAGTTTCAAAGGAATATTAAAAAGGTGCAGTCACTTCAGGACCCCAGAAGCATTGAGACTGTTAGGAACACCACAGCAGAAGATCTGCTAGAACGCTTTACTCTCTACTTGTTCTCTTATTAAGTCTTTTGCCTGTGCTTTTTAAACAGGAATTTGCCAAAATGGTCCATGTCCTCCACGCGTACTGTATCATTTCCTCGGGCGTCCGTGTAAGTTGCACCAACCAGGTGGGACAAGGAAAACGACAGCCTGTGGTGGGCACAAGCGGAAGCTCCAGCATAAGGGACAATATTGGATCTGTATTTGGACAGAAACAGGTATATCTTACTGCTCTAGTGATTAAGGCAGGTTCCTGTTGTCCTTTACGATAGAATGGAGAATAAAATCTGAGAACTGATATTATTGGGTATCTGTCACAAAAATTAATGTTAAATTCTGCGAGTTTTACTTCACTCTGGTAGAGAATAAAATAATACTCTTACTCTCTGTCTGAAAAAATATCAAGTATTATGGGCAATATGTTGATTATGGATAAGCAGGAGCTAAGTATTTCATCTTTCTAGAGAAAAATAAAAATTAATATAATGCAAAAAGCAGCTGTCGAAATTCCTTTTGCTCCTACTGAGGTTAGTTGACTAGGAAAGAAAACACGAGAACCCTCACGTCTTCCTCTCTGCAGTTAGGTCCCTTCTGTCCGTTAGGAAATCACTGAGTCCTGGTTTCTTTTAGTTGCAGAGCCTCATTCCTTTTGTGCAGCTGCCCCCTAGTGACAGCGTCTGTGAAGAGTTCGGGCTCAGCTGCTCAGATGCTCTGCAGAATCAGTTTTGGTGAGTAGATTGCCTCCAAGAAAAGGACAATCAAGTATTTTTTTTCTTTAGTTTTTTCTTTTTAAAGATAGTTATTTTAAGACTTTTAGTTTTTTTTGTCCATTATAAGCCTGTAAGCAGTGTTACTACTGAGAAAGAGATGAATACGAAGGAGTCAGTCACTTAATTCAAACAATATTCTGGGTAACTGATGTGTTTTAGGGGTTTTCTATTGAATTAGTCTTTGTAGCAAAGGTTACGTTTAGTGAACAATTAGAAAAATTAAAATAAACTATTTTGTGTATAATGTTTTACTTTATTGGGATCTGGCAGTGAGCAGTGGAGGCTGTGTTTCCTTTAATTCATGCCTTACCCGAAGTCCAGTCCAGCATCATTACTTTTAATGGAAGAAAAATAGACATTTTTCATAAGCAAGACTGGGCCTGTGGGGCATGTATTGCTTACTCTCCCTCCACTGGCCTTTGGCCTATGCCTGGAATTAAAGACGGGGGATTAATTTATGTTAAGGCATCATTCTTACAGAAATGCAAATATTCCTGAGGTTGATCTCAGGTGGAATAAGCACCTAACCAGCACCTCAGTAGATACAAGTTAGCTAACAGAGCAGATTTTAAAAGGGCAGGGAATGTGGGCAGAGATCCTGGTGACAAATAGTCGAATTTCCTGGCTAGCCTGTGGGGGCAGCACGAAAGTTCTGGAATGTGAGTTTGCAGTGAGGACCCACTCCTTATGTGGGGGCCCAGGATTTAATAGGGAAGGTGAGAGGAGAGCAGAAGCAAATGGTTTTGAACCCGTGCCATTGCCTGTGGTGGATTTGCTCTACCGGAGTGTTAGAGCCTTCTAGAAGGTCCGTGTCCTTCTTATGACTCACTGGAATGGAACACAGATGCACATTAACTGAAATGTTAGTACTTAGTTGCAGGCCACTGGTTGTTATGTTTTTATTTCTTTTCTACTTCAAGAATGTGCCATATTCTACGCGTTTCTAATCCTTTTCACTCTGGCCTCCTGCCCTTGTTCACACTGAACAGTATCTCGGGTTTCATCTCTCACTGTACTCATGGTGTTGGACGGAGTTCAACGGACAGACAATTCTTTTTTATTAATTGGCGGCCATGTGACCCAGCAAAGGTATAAATTTTTTTTGTGCAAGTTTTTTTTAAGTCATACAGATACATTTCTATGTCCATTTGAATGTGTTTTATGAGTATTTAAACTGCACCTGCAATGTTTGGCATTTCTTCAAGAGCATTTTTAGATTGGAAAAAGATTCAGTCTTAGGGATCTATGATGTAGGGGCACAAGGAATCATTTTTGGGTGATGGATGTATTCTGTATCTTGATTGTATTCTTTATATATGTGTAACTTATTGCAGACCAATTACACCTCACGAAAGCTGTTAAAAATGTATCCCTTTTGTAGTGGGTTAGAACAGCATGTTGTTAGAACCCTGGGGAAAGGGAACACTTACTTTTTTCTAATCTTTGTTTTGTTTGTAGGTTTCCAGACTCGTGAACGAGGTCTATCACATGTATAATCGACATCAGTACCCATTTGTTGTTCTTAATGTTTCTGTTGATTCAGGTAAGCTCCACTGACATTTCAGTAAAATTGGTGACTTACTCCTAAAATAATACAATGACCGTATAAAGCTCTGCTATGACTGGAAACAGACTCTTACAGTAACAGTTAATGGCCATGTATTTTTTTCAAATATATTTTTATTTTTATTGATTTCAGAGAAGGAAGGAGAGGGAGAGAGAGTTAGAAACATCAATGATGAGAGAGAATTGGGGGTGGGAATGGAGCCTGCAAACCAGGCATGTGCCCTTGACTAGAATTGAACCCGGGACCCTTCACTCTGCAGGCCGATGCTCTATCCACTGAGCCAAACCGGCTAGGGCCTCTTTTTTTTTTTTTTTTTTAAATAGGCCTTCAGTCTGTAAAATAATTACAGACTCTTATTTGTTACATTTTTAATACAGATTTTCCTGCTTTCTACTTGAAACTGTGTTAATTGTATTATTAGAAAAATGTGCCTTTTTCATGTCAACAAAGGGAGAAGGTTCTCCCTGACTTAGAAATTAATTTATTTAATATTTTTCTTATGATTTTAAAAATTCTGGTTTATTGCTATCCAGTATTTTTTCTAGGTACTTAGACAATACATATGTGCACACCTTAAAAATTTGTAATGACCTCTGTATCTATCCATATACTTTGGGGTGAGAAAAGAATTTTGGGTAATTTTGTGTAGTACTCTTTGTCCTTAGATATAAATATTTTCTTCACTATGTCATTAAAAATTATTCAGAAACATGATTTTAATAGCTACATTTATTATATTCCAGTGTATGGATATATCTTCATTTTAAACTTGTTTATTTCAGTTTTTGGAAATTTAAATACTGTCCTTATAATTAAATCATTATCTATATATTTGATTATTCCCTTTAGATAAATTCCTAGAATTAGAATGACTACACTAGTGGAAATGATTGTGATGTACCAATTTACACATCTACCAACAATATATTAGGTATTATACTTTTTAACCAAATTTGGTAGGTGATAAAGTGATATCTTCCTTTAGTTTGCGGTTTTATTATACACTAGAGGCCCGGTGCATGAAATTCATGCACTCAGGGGAGGAGGTGGGTGGGAGGGGTGCCCTCAGCCAGGCCTGAATCCTCACAGTCCAGTAGCCCTCGGGGGATGTGTCCAAATAAGCCATCAGTCGGACATCCTTAGCGCTGCCGTGGAGGCGGGAGAAGCTTCCACCACGGCCACTGGGCTCGCCAGTCATAAGCCCAGCTTCTGTCTGAGCAGCGTTCCCTGTGTGGGAATGCACTGACCACCAGGGACCAGCTCCTGCATTGAGTGTCTGCCCCCTAGTGGTCAGTGCATGTCATAGCGACTGGTCGTTCTACCATCGGGCTGAAACCAGCTCTCCAACATCCCCTGAGTCATCCCGGATTGCGAGAGGGCACAGGCCAGGCCAAGGGACCCATTGGTGCACAATTGGGGCCAGGAGGGACCTGGGCCAGAGAGGGATGTAGGAGGTTAACCAGCTGGGGAGGAACCAGGGAGGGCTCCAGGGCATGTCCAGCCCGTCTCCGATTGGCCAGACTCCAGCAGCAAGCTAACCTACCGGTTGGAGCGTCTGCCCCCTGGTGGTCAGTGCACATCATAGTGACTGGTTGACCAGTTGACTGTCTGCCCCCTAGTGGTCAGTGTACGTTATAGCGAGCAGTTGAGCGGCCTTAGCATATCATTAGCATAGTACACTTTGATTGGTTGAACAGATGACCAGACACTTAGCATATTAGGCTTTTATTATATAGAATTTTCACCTGCTTATTCTTTTTCTTATGCAATTTACCCATTGAAATCTTTGCATATTTTTTTCTATTTAGAAAATTGTTCATCTTTTCCTTGTTTATTTGAAGGAACTAATTTTATAGTTTATGAATAATAATTTGGACACTAATGTCTTTAATAGTACATTTGGTCAGTACAAGTGAATAAAATAGTAGGTAGGGGAATTTCTGTTGTTATAGGTGAATTTAAACACAGTAAGTGTCTCTTCTTTTTTTTGCCTTAGGATGTGTTGATATCAATGTTACTCCAGATAAAAGGCAAATTTTCCTACAAGACGAGAAGCTTCTGTTGGCAGTTTTAAAGACATCTTTGATAGGAATGTTCGATAGTGATGTCAGCAAACTGAACATCAGTCAGCAGCCGCTGCTGGATATTGAAGGTAAAAAACTGCAAGTGTATCAACAGCTTCTAAAACATAGCTTTTGTGATACTTTCCTTAGTTTCTTTTGACATGAAATAAAATCTCCTCTTCTAGATAGAAAAGATGTGTCTCTCTAGAAAGTAATCTGTTTAAAAAGAACAGGAGCACCCGGGCCAGGTAGCTCAGTTGGTTGGAGTGCTGTCCCCATATGCCAAGGTTGCCAGTTTGATCCCTGGTCAGGGCACATACAGGAGGCAACCAATGAATGTGTGAATGTGTAGAGCAACAAATTGATATTTCTCTCTCCCTTTCTCTCTCTCTAAAAGAAAAAAGAAAGAACACGAGTCATCATTAGTCACAGGGATGTGTTCTTACCAGAACTCAGCTGAATGCTGTGCAAGCCTTTTCATTTTCAGAGCTCTGAGAAAGTTGATCTTGACAGTTTTTGCCCATTTTCTCATTCCTTTGAGGGAGGAGGGAGTTTTTGGAGGCCCTTACAGTTGGGTAGTTTCCAGTTTGGGGCTATAATGAACAAAGCTGTGGTGAACACCCTCACCCATGGCTTTGTCCAGTGTAGGCAAGTGTTTCTGACGGGAGAGGCGAGGCTGGGTCCCAGGCAAGCATGTGTTTAGGTGTAGGGGACTCTCCCAGAGCGCTTTACACAGCAGTGTGTCCGCCTCACTCCCACCGGCCATGTGGACGCATCCCATTCCATCCTTGCCGCGTGAATGCTTGTGTTTTCATTCTACCCATTCTGGTGAGCAGACCTGGGCGTCATGTGAGGTTTTCAGTTGTCTCTCTCTGTGGTTAATGTCGAACAGTGTTCATGCTTTCTCAATTTGTGTCTCCTCTTTTGTGGCACTGTTCCTCTTATTCCTGACACTCCCCTCTGTTCCTCTCTGCCTAGGCCACTCACTGAAACCGCACTGGGCAGAGACGGAAAAGCCTCTGCCAGAGAAGCAGGGGAGTCCCGCTTCGCTAGGGACGCCAGGAGAAGAGAGAAGGGCGGTGACCATTTCCAGGCTGCGGGAGGCCTTTTCTCTTCGTCACTCAGCAGAGAACAGGCCTCAGAACAGGCAGGTTTCTCCGAGACAGAAGAGAAGCGGGCCGTCTTCCAGGCCTTCAGACGCCCTCTGCCCCCAGACACCCTGCTCAGGCGCAGGCTGGTCCGGCCCTCCAGGAGGGGGGATGAGTCCGGAAGAGGACAGAGTGGAGGCGGAAAGGGACTCAGGGCATGGCAGTACCTCCGCAGGCTCAGAGGAGGGGTCCAGCACCCCGGACATGGGCAGTCACTCCAGCAGTGACCGAGCAGCCAGCTCCCCGGAAGACAGGTCTTCACAAGAACAGATGGAGTCGTGCGAGAAGTTGCCTGAAACTGGGCGTCGTTTTTCAGACATGGAATGCCATTTAGACCCAGACGACAGTGGATGTAAATTTAGAATGTGGCCTCAGCCAACTAATCTCTCAAACACCAAGCGTTTAAAAAAAGAAGGAATTCCCTTAAGTTCTGACATCCCTCAGAAATCAGTTAATACACAGAACATGACAGTGTCTCAGGTTGACGTCGCTGTTAAAATTAACAAGAAGATCGTGCCCCTGGACTTTTCCCTGAGTTTTTTAACTACACGCGTGAAGCAGTTACATCACCAAGAGCAGCGCAGAGGCGAGCAGAACTACAGGAGGTTCCGGGCCAAGATTTGTCCTGGAGAAAATCAAGCAGCAGAAGAGGAACTAAGGAAGGAGATAAGGTAAAGGTTTTCCCTGAGAGCACCTTTGCCCATTGGTGTGTGCGTGAGGCAAAGGCCGATCCTTCCAGAGTCAGCTTTCGCTCCTCTGGGTGTTGCGTGCTCTGCTGTGAGGGCATCTCTTCTGGGTCAGGCCTGGGTGTGGCTCTGCCTTGGCACCAGCACCTGGGCCTCTGGCTCCTGCTGTCTATCACGGTGGCCCTCCCTGGGGTTTTCCGTGCACCACAGACTTGTATCTCAGATCCTCAGACTTGCCCCACTTTCCTCTCTTTCTCCCTCTGTCTAGAACAGTGGTTCTCAACCTCTGGGTCGCGACCCCTTTGGGCATTGAATGACCTTTTCACAGGGGTCGCCTAAGACCATCGGAAAACACATACATAATTACATATTGTTTTTGTGATTGATCACTATGCTTTAATTATGTTCAATTTGTAACTGAAAATACATCCTGCATATCAGATATTTACATGACCATTCATAACAGTAGCAAAATTACAGTTATAAAGTAGCAACGAAAATAATTTTATGGTTGGGGGTCACCACAACATGAGGAACTGTATTAAAGGGTCATGGCATTAAGAAGGTTGAGAACCACTGCTCTAGAAGATTCTAAATTTGGAGCCAGTTTGATTCCACAAAGCGGCCGTTATCCGTACCAGTGCATCCCTGGCAAGGCTTCCTCCATTCACCAGCTTTTCACTGCCTCGCACATCCAGCAGATACATTTGCTATAAAGAACTCTTTCTGCTGCCCAAAACCATGCAAGAATTTTCCCCTTGGATTTCCTTAGCGTTTCCTGTCTGTCTGTCCAAGTCAGTGGATCCCTTGATCCTGATTTCATTCCTCTTCCTCAAGGGTTTCAGCCCACAGCGACTTTTTTCCGCTGTAAGGAATTCATCCACTTTTGGTGGATATTGCTCTTTTCCATTTTCCATTTCAGTGTGTATTAGGAAAAAGTAGAACACTTTGTCAGACCTGTGGTTTTAAGAAGATCATTCCTGATAAGGCTACGGAAAAGGAGTCAATTTAAAGAAAAATATTAATAATACAGATATTAGAAAATACTGCCCCCTTTTTCAGTCAGTAATCATGTACAACATCGTGACTTGTTAAAATGTTGAATTCTGAAATTCTTAACTTTTTCTTTTTTTAAAAAATATATTTTATTGATTTTTTTACAGAGAGGAAGGGAGAGAGATAGAGAGTTAGAAACATCGATGAGAGAGAAACATCGATCAGCTGCCTCCTGCACACTCCCCACTGGGTATGTGCCCGCAACCAAGGTACATGCCCTTGGCCGGAATCGAACCCGGGACCCTCAAGACTGCAGGCCGATGCTTCATCCACTGAGCCAAACTGGCTAGGGCTTAACTTTTGTCTTTCTAAACTTTGCCTTGCGGTTGACTGAACACAGTGCAGCTGTGTAATGACACTGAACTTTTGTAGCACTTTTAGTGTGGACCACATAGGCTTTGCCTGATTTAGAGTATAAGTTCTTTCTGTTTTTCATATATTTTTCTTTATTTCAGAGAGGAAGGGAGAGGGAGAGAGGATCATTGATTGGTTGCCTCCTGCACCCCCCACCCTCACTGGGGATCGAGCCCGCAACCCAGTCATGTGCCCTGACCCAAAATTGAACTGTGACCTGTGGCTCATAGGTCGACGTTCAACCACTGAGCCACAGCTGGGCTAGAGTATAAATTCTTCAAGACTTTTATGTTATGTAATTTCTTCGCTATTCATAGTGCCTAGCTTACATTGAGAAAGGTCTTCAGGAAATATTTCCTTTCAGCAGTGTGTAATTAATTGGGGTGTGCGTAATTAAGTGGGGTGAACTTCTTTGCATGTCATCTGGTGAAACTGTGAACTCGGATGCAGTGAAGAGAACCAGGTTCTTTCAGGTGCACGTACACTCACACAGTCACAGCAGGTGTGTGCTGGATAGGGACGCACACGTCAGGTGCCCGAGTGAAAGCTGCTTGTCCTTTACCTTTGCATTCTGTCAGCCCTCGAAAAGTGAAGTTAACTGCGATTTTTAAAAACAGAGATTTTAAGTAATTCAACAAGCACTTACTGATCACCTGTTATTGTGGTTCTTGATTTTTTTTCATCAAAAAAATAGTCTTTGAAAATGTCTCACAATTAATGTTTTCTCCATGCAGTAAAACGATGTTTGCAGAGATGGAAGTCATCGGTCAGTTTAACTTGGGGTTTATCATCACCAAACTGGACGCGGACCTCTTCATCGTGGACCAGCACGCCACGGATGAGAAGTACAACTTCGAGATGCTCCAGCAGCACACCGCGCTGCAGGGCCAGAGGCTGATCAGGCAGGTTCACGTCAGGTTCTGGATTTTCAGGGTCATTTCCCCTCCCGCATGTCAGATCTAATAGCTTACATGTGTGCCTATGTATGTACACATAGATTTGCCATGAGCATCCCTACAGAAAATTTTTATACTTTTTACATAATAATAGTCATACCTGCCATTTACTGAGTGCTTATGATATGCCAGGCATTATTGAAGGCATGTATTAATTTACTTAATTCTCACAAACTATGAGGTAGTCACTGTTACAATCACCATTTCACATAGAGGTTCAGTAACGTGCTCAAGGTCACACAGCTGTGTTCTTACAAGTACCCAACATTTTCGCCATTGAAAAACATCCGTCACTGGTTGGCCAGAAAACCCTTCTGATGAAAGGCAACTTTTAGTACTTAGTACATCTGTTTATAGCACATGGAATGTGCGTGTTCAGGGCAGCATTGCCTGCATGTCAGTCCTCAGCTACCATAGACAGTTCCAATGGCTAGATAGTCACCGCAGATTCTGTATTTCCCTGTCCTTTGCCAGATTGAATGTTGGCAACTGACCATGTGGTGGTGTGATGGTATACCATGTAAACCAGAAGTATTTTCCTTTCTTTTTAAATGTTTATTGATTTCAGAGAGAAGAAAGGAGAGGGAGAGAGGGATAGAACATCAATGATGAGAATTATTAATCAGCTGCCTCCTGCAGGCCCTTCACTGGGGATCGAGCCTGCAACCCGGGCATGTGTCCTGCCCGGGAATCAAACCGTGACCTCTTGGTACATGAGTCAGTGCTCACCCACTGAGCCACACTGGCTGGGCCAGAAGTCTTTTCTTAAGCAAAATTATAAGAAGAGGGCATGGATTTTCACTTGAGAAATTAAAAATACAAAAAAAAACTCAGATCCCAGCAGAAGCAGATCCCGGCATGAAGAAATGTACAATAAGGAGTCACTGAGCGGGGAAAGCACAGGTTTCCTTACAACATGAGGAGTGCTCTCTTTCCTGGGGGATGCACTAATTGTGTTGTTTTCAGAAGAAGTGAATGGCAATGGAAGGACCTTTAATAAGCTACTTCATAAAATTTTCTTAGAGAATCCTTCCCTGACCCCCTTTCTTTCCAGGTCAAGTCTTGCTTACTTTCTGCTCCTTGGGCACCGTGTGTCTCTTCTTCCTAATTCCCGGTGTAGCTGTAGCTGTAATTTGATTGTTTGATCAATGCCTTTCTTCCCCACTAAACTGTTACTCCACGAGGGCAGAGACTGGGTCTGTGCTTTCTTACGGGGTCTGCTCACTCTAGTCCCCCGGAGAGGATTCAGAAGAAGACAGGTGGGATGGCAGATTCATGAAAAGCACCTTACTTGCCCTGACCGGTTTGGCTCAGTGGATAAGAGTGTCAGCCTGCGGACTCAAGGGTCCTGGGTTCGATTCCGGTCAAGGGCATGTACCTTGGTTGCGGGCACGTCCCAGTGGGGAGTGTGTAGGAGGCAGCTGATCGAAGTTTCTCTTTCATCGATGTTCCTAACTCTCTATCCCTCTCCCTTCCTCTCTGTAAAAAAATCAATAAAATATATTTTTTTTAAAAAAGCAACTTACTTTTATACTTTAACTCCTGAAGCGAACTTAAAAAAAAAAATTAAAAGGAAATTCTGAGAAAGTTTTGTGACAGGAAAGGCACATAGCTCAATGAAGTGTTACTATTCCTGTTGCTTTTTGAAAGAGCTCACAGTATTGTTTTAATTTCATTTCTGCGTTATACCTGCATGTTTGACTTGAAGATATGTCTTGACTCTCTCCTTTGTCTTTCAGACCCCAGACTCTGAACTTAACTGCTGTCAATGAAGCCATCCTGATAGAAAACCTGGAAATCTTCAGGAAGAATGGCTTTGATTTTGTTATCGATGAAAGTGGTGAGTTATTACTTAAGCCTGTAGAACTGTGCCCTTTTAGAGCTGGGACTCATCTTTGAGGTCACAAGAAGTGAAGATGGTTGCCCTCACTGTCAGATACCTAGTACAGGTAGCACTCAAACAAAACACATTTTTCAACTAATGATATTTTTTCTTCAAATTTTATTCTTTTAGCTCCTATCACTGAAAGGGCTAAATTGATTTCCTTGCCAACTAGTAAAAACTGGACCTTCGGACCCCAGGACATCGATGAGCTGATCTTCATGCTGAGTGACAGCCCTGGGGTTATGTGCCGGCCTTCCCGCGTCAGGCAGATGTTCGCCTCCAGGGCCTGTCGCAAGTCTGTAAGTAAAGGAAGCTCCCCTGCCAGGACCCCAGGGTCTGCTCTCTCTAGTCCCCAGAAGTCCTCAGCTCAGCAGATGAGCAGTCAGTGTTGTGCGTGTGGCTGTGACGGCCACAGGTCATTGTACAGATAGAGCCTCATCGCTCTGTCAACCTGACATGCCATCTCCACATGTCTGCGTTCTCTTTGACTCTACCCCATAATTGCTGCTTTTTCTCTACTTCCATTAAGCGTATTCTCTCTCAGAGGTTCGTTGATCCCAGTGCAGTTAGCTGTCCATGCATGTTGTTTGTCTACGGACCATGTGGATATTAACAACGTTGGTAGATAGAGAGCTGCTGCTGCCCTGCCTGCACAACACTGCGCAGGTCGCACCGAGTCCTTCATAGGGTGCCGTGAAGTCAGCACGCATTTCACAGGGCGCCGTGAAGCATTGCACATTAACTCACTGTGCAGGCGCTGGAGAGGGGAGCAGTGGTTGACAGCCTGGTGTCCAGGTAATGTAAGTGAATCTCTATCTCCTGGCCCATTGGGAAGGCCAGGACGCCATTCCTTCAACATGTACCCCGGGAGCCCCTGCTGTGTGGCCCACCCTGTGCCAGGTGCTGGGGCCACAGAGCCACAGTGCAGATGAGGCCCTCGTCCTTGTGGAGCTCATAGCTTAGTGGGGAGAAATAGACATGGCAAAGCCAGCTTCACATACCAGTAAGTTCAGTAAGGAAACTACAACAGTGTTGGGATAGGGAGTGCCCACAGAAAATTGAGGTGAACAGTAGAGGTGGGGAGCAGGGAAAGGCTGTCGGAGGAGATGACATCTGAGCTGACCTTAGAAGATGAGAGGGAGCCCATTGGGTCAGAACCTTCCAAACAGAAGAAATGGCAAGTGTGAAGGCTCCGGGGGTTTGAGCAAAGCTGGGGACTGATCCGAGTGACCGAGCAGGGGACTAGGACAAGAGAAGCCCAGCAGCCATGGACCCACAGCGGGTCTTGCTGGTCCTGGTCAGACCTGAGAGTTGGTGCTGCGTGTGTTGGGAGCCCCTGGAGGGTTGTCCTGGCTGAGAACAGACGAGGGCAGTGATGCGAACCTTTTGAACTCTGCGTGTCAGCATTTTGAAAAACCCTAACTTAACTCTGGTGCCGTGTCACATATAGAAATTTTTTGATATTTGCAACCATAGTAAAACAAAGACATATGTTTGATATTTATTTTATATATTGAAATGCCATTTAACAAAGAAAAATCAACCAAAAAAATGAGTTCGCGTGTCACCTCTGACACGCGTGTCATAGGTTCGCCATCACTGGCCTAGGGGGTGCCAGAAATAAGGGTGGTGGGGAAAGCAGCAGCTTTTTACATTTGGGGCGTGAGTGGGATTAAGAGTTCAGTTTAGATGTGTTATATTTGGGATTCCTCTATCAGTGGTTCTCAGCCTTCTGGCCCTTTAAGTACAGTTCCTCATGTTGTGACCCAACCATAAAATTATTTTCGTTGCCACTTCATAACTGTCATGTTGCTACTGTTATGAATCGTCATGTAAATATCTGATATGCAGGATGGTCTTAGGCGACCCCTGTGAAAGGGTCGTTCGACCGCCAAAGGGGTCGCGACCCACAGGTTGAGAACCGCTGCTCTAGATGGTAAGTGGAGGGTCTAGAACAGTCCTATTAATGAGTCCTGCGCTCAGGGGAACTGTCAGTGCTGGAGATAAAACGTTAGGTGTGCTTCACAGCCATGTTGGATGAAATCACTCAAGAGAGGAGTTTAACTAGAGCAGGGACTAGGGCCTGAGATCTGACTTTCAGCCACAGATTCCTTTGATGAAGGCCTACTATCAACCCAGCGCTGGAGTCTGTGAGAGAGTTGGGACTGGCCTGTGCTGAGAGCCAGACATTTAAAATTATGTCTTCCTGTGACTCAGAGATCAGAGCCAATGGCTGCTCCTTCACGCCCGCCTGGCAGGTCCATTCAGCTGCAGCCCTTGTCCTCCAGGCAGCACCCGAACCTGCCGACTGTCCTGGGCTTTCCTCTGCCGCCCGAGGGCGCAGGCTCTGGCCATCCTGCCCTTCCAGCCCCGTGTGCTGCTCTTGTCTGCAGACCAGTCACTCTGGTCCCCTTCCCGCCTCAAGCCCTGAGTGCTGACCCGTCCCTCTGCCTGGATTCCCTGCCTCACATCCCTGCGTCACATCCCTGGCTCCCTCTGCCCCTGGGCCCTGAGCATCGACTGAAGTGGCCTCTTCCCGGCACTCGGGCACAGCGCCCCTGAGTGACAGCTGTCTTGTTCCTGTTAACTTGTCTGTTGTCTGTGTCCCTTCAACGTGTCAGAGTGCTGCCCCATATCCTGCCTCTGGGACTGTGCCAGTTTCAGGCCTGTCACCTCTCGCCACCTCTCCTTGTTTCAGGGCCTCCGTTTCTTGCTTGCCGTGGCATCGTCCATCTCCCTGTATCTGTCAGATAGTGATAGGGGCTATGGAGCAAAGGCAAGGCGAGGGCTACAGAGGGGTAGATGAGGAGAGCTGGTTCCCTGAGAGGAGGCAGGGGCATTAGGGCAGAAGCCTGAAGGGAGCGGGGAAGTGAGGCATGCCCACATTGGAGGAGAGCCTCCCGGTAGAGGGCACAGCCAGTACCAAGGTCCTGAGGCAGGCACTGCCAGTGTGGCTGCAGTGGGGGAGGGAAGGTTGTATGCTTGCAAGTGCAGGCATGAAGGCCAGATCAGGTGATGCACTTGCGCTGTTATTCGGGTGAAGAGCCAGGAGCTCTGACACCTTTCAAAGGGGTCACTGGCAGCTGAGTGGAGGATGGTGGGTGTGGTTAGGGGGAGCAGGGAGCTGTTAGGAGGTCAATGCAGTTGCCAAGATGACAGGTGAGGGTGGCCGGCACAGAGGTTGTGCTGGCACCGTTGAGACTGGTTGGCTTCTGGGCAGGTGACGGCATCTTGAGGAAAGGGAAGGAGCCAGGGAGCGGGGGGTGTCACAGAAAGGTGGACGCTGAGGTATTAGAAGGCAGTGTTGCCTGGGGGAAGATTTTTCAGGGAACGTTGGTTTTGAGTTGTAATCTTGTCCAGCTTTGTTTTAGAGAAAAATTTGGCTGGAGAGTTGTTATTCTAACCCAGACCGAGTAAAACTTGAAACCGCTGTGTCTCGTATTCAGGTGATGATCGGAACTGCTCTCAACACAAGTGAGATGAAGAAACTCATCGCCCATATGGGTGAGATGGACCATCCCTGGAACTGTCCCCACGGCAGGCCGACCATGAGACACATCGCCAATCTGGATGTCATTTCTCAAACTTGACCTTGTTTTATAGACTGGACTTTTCTGTTTTGCAAGGCAGGGCTTAACGATTTTGTTTCAAAATTAGCCTACTTAAGAAAGACAAACACATAGCAGCGCCATTTAGAAATGATGTTGAGAGCCTTTTGCACCATGTGGAGTATTGCTGCAGTGTTTTTTGTTCTGAATTTGTGTGTGTGTGTGTGTGTGTGTGTGTGTGTGTACAGGCAAGAGCACGTTTTTTCTAAAATGGGAAGAGCACTTTGGAAGCCATCCAGGCCTCTGCTCTGGCCCAGCATATTTTAGGCTGCAACGCTAAGCCTAATGATGATTAAGTTGGCAATGGTTTAATTTCATAAATTTAAAATTATGATCCTCTTGGCTCACTAGTTCTCAACCCTGATGTACATACTTTTTTTTTTTAAAGGAATAATCTGGAAAACCTAGTGGGGGTTCTCTGCCCGGCTGGGAAGAAAGGACCCAGTGGAGCTGGGGTTATGATTTTTAAATGTTCCCCGGTGCGGCCAGGGTCGCAAGGCACTGTTGTAGGCAAGGGGAAATAAAAGGTTTGGATTTGGCCGTAATTTAATGTTGTGATGTGGTTTCCTTGGGGTGGGAGCTGCCAGATATTCCAGTTACTGGCTCTGAGTGGTACTGGAGGTGGAAGAATCCCTGTGTTTTGTCAGATAGCTTTTCATGGAACCTCATCCCATTTGAACTCTGCCAAAAATGCAGCTAAAAATGCCGTCTGTGGAGTCCAAGTGGTGGTTGGTGTACAATGGCGAGTGTAGGCCACCTCCCTGTTCTCGCCCTCCCTGCCCAGACCTCGGGCCCCCTGGGAGAGAGGGCTTCCATTCCCAAACTTAGAATTCATTCTTCGCTGTAATGAGACAGCCAAGTAATAAGTATTACCAAGTTATTGTGTCAAGCTTAGGCTGGTGTGCCTGTCTGCAGGGTCTTATTTAATATTTTCAAGAACTCTGCAGATTGGGGTTTCTGGCCTCAAAGATGGCCATGTCCTAATCCCAGACCCTTGAATATGGGTCTTTGTAGATGTGATTAAGAAATGAGCTGAGAAATGGAGGACCTATCTTGGCTTGGTTGGGTCGACCCAATCCATCCCATGACTTAAACCTGGGAACCTCTCCCAGCTGTGTCAGGGAGATGCAGCCACTGACGTGGAAGATGCAGGAAGGCAGACTCTAGAGGTGAGAAAACAGACTCTCCCCTGCAGCTGCCAGAAGGAACCGGCCCTGTTGGACCCCTAACTTACAGAACCGTAAGATGGTAAGTTTGTGTTGCTTTAAGCCCCTAGGCAAGTTTGTGTAACTTGTTTACACCGCAAAGGAAAACTAACACCTGGATTAATTATTCTGTTATGGTGAAGAGGAAGGGGGACAGAGGTCACGGGGCAGTTAGCGGAGGTGGGAGAACCCAGGTCAGGTGCATCCAGCTCCAGATTTCCACCTGACCTTCAGGAGCAGTGGTTCTCAACCTTGGCTGCACATTGGAATCACCTGGGAATCTTTTTAAAATCTTGATTTCTGGACCTCATCCTCCGGAAATTCTGTTTCTTTGTTATGGGGTGGGTGGGCCCCCAGAAATCAGGATTTTAAAAAGATTCCCAGGTGATTCTAATGTGCAGCCAAGGTTGAGAACCACTGTTCTGGAGTAAGGGGGCAGAGAACACGTGCTTCTAGGAAGCTCGGCCCCTTTAAGGATGGGGAGGGGCGGGGCCTGCTGTTGCCTGGAGACCAGCCCGGCTTAGACGCGCGCGCCGGAGCAGTGCATCACCTGGCTGGGCCTGGTGTTCAGAGAGAGCCAAGTGAGCGCCCCGCGAGAGCTCCCGGCGCCCCAGGCCCTGCGACGGACTTAACCGCCAAACGGACCCGCCTCCTCCGAGGACCTGAGCAGGTGCGTGGTGGGCGAGGAGGGCCTTAGGGAAGGGCAGGAAGTTTGGGGACCCCGGGGCTCAGAATTCACGCTCCCTTTATGCTGCCGCGGCAAAGAACAAACAGGAGAACGCGGTGTCAAGCCTGGGAGGACAGAAAAAAGTTAGTGAGAAACACGCCAGGAGAAAGGAAACTTGCCTTGCAGTTCAGATTTCACTGATACGGGACCGGAAAGCCTATATGGTAGAAGCCTGCCGAGTTCGATGTGAGCAGCTTGCTTAGCTAAGACAGCAATGGGGTGGGAGTGGAGACTGAAAGTGATTTTTTTTTTTAAATGAGTAATTCATCTATTGTTACTCCTCACCTGAGGATATTTTTCTATTCGTTTATAGAGAGGGGAAGGGAGGGGAGAGACAGAGAGAGGAACATCAATGTGAGAGACACATCGATTGGGTGCTTCCCCCATCCGAACCCCCGACCGGGGCCAGGCATTGAGCCTGCAGGGATTGGCCCTTCAGTTGGCAGGCCGGTGCTCTATCCACTGAGCCAAACCGGCTAGGGCGAGTGGAAGGTTTTGAATGGAGAGAAGCAGGACAGTAGGAGCGCTAGAGGAGGGGTGGAGCTAGCAGGTGAGTTTCAGAGGACGCCCTGCCGGCAGCGGAGGGCGTGGGGCACCCCCTGCATCCTCTGGGCACACAAGGAGGGATGGTGCCTTGGACTCCAGGACTGGGATGCTTTCAGTGGGGCCGGTTTCAGAGGCCATGGACACTAGGGCTTTGGAGTCCTACCCCTCTGCTCCACCTTGACACCACCCTGTTTCTGGCTGACATAGGGGGTGGGTGCTCAGGCAGTGCTAGTGCTGGCATGGGGAGTAAGGGGCCAATGACTTCAAGTTCCAAAACAGGAAAATGGCGTGCCATCATCGCTCCATTACTGACTGTGTGCTCTTCCCCATACTTTGGAAATGCTTCGTGCATCCATTTCTTTCATTCTTACAAGGAAACAAGGTACTGTTATTCCCATTTGGTATCTGAGGCGGGAGGACATCAAGTAACTTGCAGGAATCCAGCTTTGCGCACTTTGCCACGGGAGACGGGCTTTCACAGCACGGACTGGCAGCATGCTAGCCCTCAGAGGTTAAGTAGCCGTTTTTCATGGACAGGATGACCCTTTACTGGGACACTATTTGTAAACAGTGCTTCCAATTTAAAAACCATTTAGGAACAACCAATGTAATATTGAGGCTATATTATTTTTATAAACTGGTAATACCTATTGTAATTTTTCACGCTTTTAGGAGAACGGTAATGGCATTGGGTTGTAAAGCTAACATTTCAGCTACGAGTGAAACCCTCAAGTATTTGGAGACATAATTTTTATTTTTTTTTTCAGGTAAAGCTCATCAGTGACTTGAAACAAACAGCTCTCAAAGGAATTTGACACTTAAATAAAGGCAATGGTGAAAGAAAAGAAAAAAACAGACAAAAAAGTGGATAAATCTGCCCACTCTCCCTCATCTCTCTCTGATAATCCGGAGCTTTCCAAGCCAGATGGCAATTCCACTAGACAAGTAATATCCCCAATCATTGTCCCACAATTGGGACTAAGTGAACCAGGATCCAAAAGAGAGTCCAGAAGTGAGAATCAGCAGTTAGAAGATGCCCTTCAATATGAAGACCCCATTCTGACCAACCTCATCATTGAAAGGTGATCTTAACGGGCGGTATTGTCCATGCTTGCTGCTCTCCTCTCTGCTGAACTTGAGATCTCAGGCTCCTTCCTGCCTCAGGGCCGTTGCGCTTGCTGTTCCCTCTAACTGGGGTCCTCTTCCCGGGATTCTTCTAATGGATGTTTTGTCTCAGGTCCTTTAGGTCCAAGTACAGCTCTCACGTTCTCTGAAAGGCTTCCACCCTGACTCTGCGTACGGTAGCCTCCTCCCCCGGTTACTTCTTTCACAAAAAATGAACTCGATACGGAATTCTCTTGTTCGTGTGTTTCTTATTGATTGTCTGTCCTCAGTGAACTGTACGCTCCCGAGGCAGGAACTTTCCAGTCTTGGGCACAGTTCACTGTTCTCGGCCTGGCTTTTAGAAGGGGACAGGCATCCGGTGGCCCCCGGGGAGTGTTTGTTGGCTGAATAAATGTGACAAGTGCTTCTTCATTCATGTTAATTATGTATCTGACCCACTGTCACTTGGGGTCACTCACGTCATGACCTTGAGTCTCATTTCTCTGTAGCTATGAAGGGGAAAAAGTCCATGGACTGTACCAGGGAGAAGGCTTTGCAGTCTTCCAGGGAGGCTGCACCTACCGCGTGAGTGACACATTCGGGGGCTGTGGGGGGAGGAAGGCACCGGGTGATGATAGATTTAGATTTGCATCAGACAAATCCACTGGTTCTTCAAAGAACTTGGAAGTCCTTAATGCTGATTTTATTTTGAACACTGTCTACGTATTTTAAGGTAAAAACATGGATCAGCACAACTGAAGTAGTCCTTTTATTGACCTTTATTTGTTGTACAAACATTAAGGTCAGTCACTACAGTAAAGAATGAAGAATAAAACCCAGTATCATCATCCTCTTGCCATACATGTTTTTAATTTGCTATGTTCCTTTCATTTCTTAAATGGATGTATCAGTGTTTTCACCTGGGAATCTTCATTTAAAGAAATTTTTTAAATGTTTTATCCTCACCTGAGGATATATTTATTTTAGAGAGAGAGAAACGGGGGGGGGGGGGGGACATTGATGTGAGAGAGAAACGTTGATTGGTTGCCTCCTATATACACCCCGACCAGGGATTGAGTCTGCAACCTAGGTATGTGCCCTCACTGAGAATCGAACCCACAACCTTTTGGTGTATGGGACCGATGCTCCAACTAACTTATGAGCCATACGGCCAGGGCTGGGTATATTCATTTTGTATATAACATCTTGGATCTTTTTTCGCTTCTGAATCCTTCTTTGTATTGTCACATGGTGTCATAACTTAATTGTCTCATTGTGGTAAACATACATAACATAAAATGTATCATTTCAACCATTTGCAATTGTACAGTTTAGTGGCATTAGGTGCACTTAGCGGGTTGTACAACCTTCACCTCTGTCCGGTCCCAGAACTTGTTCATCATCCCCAAACAAACTCTATACCTGTCAAAAACTAAGTCCCCATTCCCTCTTCCACAATAATTACTTTTTTTTAAAGATTTTTTAAAAAATATATTTTATTTGATTTTTTTACAGAGAGGAATGGAGAGGGTTAGAAAGTTAGAAACATCGATCAGCTGCCTCCTGCACACCCCCTACTGGGGATGTGCCCGCAACTAAGGTACATGCCCTTGACTGGAATCGAACCTGGCACCCTTCAGTCCGCAGGCCGACACTCTATCCACTGAGCCAAACTGGTTAGGGCCACAATAATTACTTTAAACATTGCATAGTGTTCTAATTCAACTGTGCCATACTTGTTGGATACTTTGGGGGCATTTTCATTTTTTGCCTTTATTAGTAATGCCACCGTGAGGGCATTCATTCATTCATTCATTCATTCATATTATCAGAGAAATATGTGATTATTATAGGATCACAAATTTTTGTGGTTGGGGCCACAGGCATGAGTTTTAGTTCCCTGAATTTTTCCCCCTTAACATACAACATGTTCAATTTCCTGTGTCACAAAAACTCTCAAAATGCAGACACAGATTGAATTCAGGCTTCCATTTAACAACTGTCCACGACTGCCTATAGTGTAAGTTGTAGGGAACTGGATTTTTCCGGACCCTCCTCAGACCCTTTTTAGAACAGGATAGATGCCAGTGTGGGGCCGGCTCAAGGTGGGCTCTGCCACTGTTGCGAACGCGTGGACAAGCATGGTCGTGCTCGTGCGGGTGGACGGGGGAGGAAGCTGTCGTGTGACATCAGTGCCTGGTCCCAAGGGTTTGTCGTCATTCTGTTTTGAAGGGTATGTTTTCAGAAGGACTCATGCATGGACATGGGACTTACATTTGGGCCGATGGAGTGAAATATGAGGTAAAGCATATAATATGTCGTAGTTCTAAACTATAATTATGAGACTTAATGGTCAGATTCCCACAACTAAACGTACTACTTTCATAAACGTAATTCAGCACATGGGTTAAAGGAACCCACAGAACCAAAGAATGTAGGTGAAAAGTAACTGGTTACGGCCCGGGGCTCTCTGGTATTGTTAGCAGTGTCACTGGTTCTAGAAGGTTCTGTGTTGTGTGCAAGGACAGCACACCTGCGTGTCCTGGGCTTCTCCTACCTTTTACAAGCAGTTTCTCATACACTCTCTTCTGTATGTTCATTTCTTCGAGATCAAACCATAGGCATCCATGCAGGTCTCCCTGTTTTTGCTGGCTGGTTGTTTTACACTATGGGCAACTCTCTTGACCCATCTTGCTGGGCCGAGGGGAAGATGTATTTTTTAAAAAAATATATATTTTATTGATTTTTTTACAGAGAGGAAGGGAGAGGGATAGAGAGTTAGAAACATCGATGAGAGAAAACATCGACCAGCTGCCTCCTGCACACTCCCCGCTGGGGATGTGCCCGCAACCAAGGTACATGCCCTTGACGGAAATTGAACCCGGGACCCTGGAGTCTGCAGGCGGATGCTCTATCCACTGAGCCAAACTGGTTAGGGCGGAAGATGTATTTTTAAATCATTTGCTAGAACCAAACTGCCCTCCAAGAGAGGGCTCGGTGTCAACTCCCACTCACAGCCTCCCTCGGGATGGCTTCCAGGAATCCATGTTCCCCAGGCCGGGTGTCCCTGCTTGCTGCTCCGAGCTCCGTCTACACCAGTGATGGCGAACCTATGACCTGCGTGTCAGAGGTGACACACAAACTCATTTTTTTGGTTGATTTTTCTTTGTTAAATGGCATTTAAATATATAAAATAAATATCAAAAATATAAATCTTTGTTTTACTATGGTTGCAAATATAAAAAAATGTCTATATGTGACACGGCACCAGAGTTAAGTTAGGGTTTTTCAAAATGCTGGCACGCCGAGCTCAAAAGGTTCGCCGTCACTGGTCTACACACCGCCGTCCAGATACGTTCTTCTGCCTGGGCTTCTACCCAGTGGAGGGACCGGGCGAGGGCAAAAGAACGGGCTGTGTAGCGAAGGAAGGAGGAGGGTGGAAGCGGGGGCGGTAGTTGCGTGTTTCCATGGGAGAAGAGACAGGTATAGAGGGGGAGTCGAGGACGTGTCTCAGACCCCCCCAGGCTCAGGAACCGCTCGCTGCCTGCTTTCTGACTCCTTCGGCCTTTTTGCCCCAGGGGGAGTTTGTGAAGAACATCCCCATGAACCAGGGCGTGTACACATGGCCGGACGGCAGCACCTACGAGGGAGAAGTGATCAACGGCATGCGGAACGGCTTTGGTGTGTTCAGGTGCAGCACGCAGCCCGTGTCCTACATCGGCCACTGGTGCCAGGGCAAGAGGCACGGGAAGGTGGGTGAGGCCGCCACGTGACGGCCCTCTGTGCCTGGGATGAACAAACCCGCAGGCGGGAAGTGGGGGCTGTGAAGGTAGATCAGATCCACTGTTTGTTTATTGCGGTGACATTCACATCCCCGGAGATAAACCATTTTAGAGTGAGCAATTCAGTGGCATTTAGTACATTCTCAGTGTTGTGCAAACACAACCTCTTTCTTGTCCCAAAACATTTAAAACATTTCATCACTCCAAAATAAACCCCGTGCCCATTAGGTAGTTACTCCATAGCCCTCTTCCACCGCGCCCCTCACCCACTCCCCCCCCAACTCCTCCCCCCTCGCCCCCCCTCCCCAGCCCCAATCTCAGCAACTTGCTTTTTTCTATCGGTTTACCTATTCTGGACATTTTGTATGAAATAGAACCATACAATGTGTGACCCGTTGTGTCTGGTTCTTTTGCTCAGCATCATGTTTTTGAGGTCCTTCCCTGTTGTAGGTACTTGGCTCCTTTGTGCGGCTGAATAATATTCCACTGTGAGGATGAGCCACGGTTTGTTTATCCATTCACCTGCTGCTGGACACTTGCGCTGCTTCCATCCTTTGGCTCCTGTGCACAGTGCTGCCGTGAATGTACACGGAGGGTCACCTGGGGACTTGCTCGCAGGTCTCTTGGGTATATATCTAGGAGTGGAATCACTAGGTCACGCGGTACCTTGACGTTTTAACATTTGTAACCGCCACCAAGCTGTTTTCCACGGGGGCCACACCGTTTGCATCCGCACCTGCAAGTGTAGGTTATATTCACTTTTAAGCAAGATGGTTGTTTTTTGGTACAACTCTTGGCTTTGGTATGGGACGATCAAATACTGCAGCAGTGTTTTTAGAAAATGCCATAAGAAGTTTACCATGATAATCATCACTTTACTGAGATTGAGACTGTTCGGTTGTGTTGTTTGTTTGGCTTGGTTTTTAGCTCATTGCAGATCACTTCGAATATATGGGAGGGGTTGGGGCAGTCAGTTCTCCACAGAGGCACCTGAATGTCTGCAAGAAGACACAAGTTAGCTTGACAATGAGGAAGATGGAAAAATCACACCCTCACACTCACACACGCGCGCACACTCACACCAGCGAACAAGCAAGCAATTTGAGGCCACTCAGTGTAGATCTGGATGCCTTGCACTGTGGTCAGTCCCCTAGAGGAGCGAGCTAAGTAAGGTGTCCCAATGGATAAAGGAAAGGGGTTTTGGTGCATAAGTGAGTGGCCTTCAGTTACATGAAAGGTGCTACTATTACTTAGGTGACAAAGCAGGATTTCTTTAGGCACTTATCTGACTGATAGTTATGAAGATAATGAGTCTACTGAATGTGAGGAATGTTCATGCCCTCAAGTGGCACTTTGTAAGGAGTAACTGGTTTGCCCTGACCGGTGTGGCTCAGTGGATAGAGCGCCCGCCTGCAGACTCAAGGGTCCCAGGTTCAATTCCGGTCAAGGGCATGTACCTTGGTTGCAGGCACATACCCAGTGGGGAGTGTGCAGGAGGCAGCTGATTGATGTTTCCCTCTCATCGATGTTTCTAATTCTCTACCCCTTTCCCTTCCTCTCTGTAAAAAAATCAGTAAAATATATATTTTTTTTTAAAAAAAGGAGTAACTGGTTTGTGACATTATCTCAGTCTCCCTCGGCGGACACTTTACCATATTCTCGACTGCGAAACAGAAGCATCACAGATTGTGTGTCTTGCTTTAGTGTGATGTTTGACTTCTGTATGGTTTAGGCTCCTTAAATTTATAGTATATTTTTATTTTCACCTATAAAAAAACATTGTCTTTTGAGGCTTGATTTTTTTTACAAAAATGACATTATTTATTTCAGGGCTCCATTTATTACAATGAAGAGGGTACCTCGTGCTACGAGGGGGACTGGGTTCACAACATCAAGAAGGGCTGGGGGATAAGACGGTAGGTACCCCCCTCCCCCTCCGGGGTCTGGGCAGAAAGTGTGCGGGGACCCAGATGGTGCTCACCGAGGCTCTGGGAAGATAAGAGGCAGGAATCACAGGGAATGCATTTTCTATAGAAGCGAGTGGAGTATTCCAATTAACCCAATATAACCCCACGGTAATGAAAATATTCTACAGAAAATGTAGAAAAGCATCATATTAAATGTTGTCCAATCATTCTGTTTTCCTTTATTCTATGTAAAAATGGCCTTCCTTTGTTCTCTCTATTACTCATGGATGTCCATGATATAGGTTACATTTTCTGAAGAATTTGACATATTTGCTTGATTTTTAGATTGAGCTGATAAAGTCAAAATATTTGTGGGCAATATCACCTAATTATAATACTCCAGGGAATTATTATTATTTTTGTTAATCCTCACCCAAGGATATTTTTCCATTGATTTTTAGAGGGAGTAGAAGGGAGGGGGAGAGACAAAGAGAGAGAATCATTGATATGAAAGAGACACATCGATTAGTTACCTCCTGCACAGGCCCCAGGGCAAGGGGATTGAGCCTGCAACCAAGGTATGTGCCCTTGACTGGAATCGAACCTGGGACCCTTCAGTCTGTGGGCCAATGCTCTACCCACTGAGCAAGACCAGCTATGGCCAAGGAATTATTTTTAAAGATTTAGGCCCACTGGCGTGACTCAGTGGTTGAGTGTGGACCTATGAACCAGGAGGTCATGGTTCAATTCCCTATCAGGGCACATGACCAGGTTGTGGGCTCGATCTCCAATGTGGGGCATGCAGGAGGCAGCCGATCAATGCTTCTCTCTCATCATTGATGTTTCTCTCTCTCCCTCTCTCTTCCTCTCTGAAATCAATAAAAATAATTTTTTTTAAAAAGATTTAAAATGACTGCCCTTATTCACTTTGTTACTATTAGATGATCAGAAAGTTTAATAAAGTAATTTATTCTACCTCCTAAGGTGATTTTTTTTTTTTCTTTACCAACCACATACTCATCCTTTGAATTTAAGTCAGAGTAGATTGTATGCATGAGAGAGTTGGATTTCTTCATAAGAGTACAGGGAGAATGTCTTAAGAGAAAGTATTAGTAAAGGTAACGGATTGTTTTGAATTGTTGTGGGGTATTTTGTGTTTTTTTCCTAGTTATAAATCTGGAAATATGTACGAAGGGCAGTGGGAAAACAACATGCGCCATGGGGAAGGCACGATGAAATGGCTGACAACTAACGAAGAGTACAGTGGTCAGTGGGAGAATGGTGTCCAGGTACTCCGCCAGCTGGTTTTAGCAGAATATACCCAGAGGTGGACGCTCTGCTGATCCCCAGCACATATATTATTTGGTATGGTGTTGTATGGCAGTCTGAAATTCAAGTTATGCTAAATTTAGAAACTCAACTTACAATTTCCTGGTCTAAACCAGATGTTTGTAACGCTGTTTTATTACTTGGTTTGCTCGAAAGGTCTTCCACACAAATTAGATTCTATTCTACTATTGGTGAACCCAAAAGGCACACGGTATCTGTGAGGCCTGAGACCATTATTTATATGTTAGAAGCAATGTACTTTCTATGGTTAATTTTATATGGTTTATATTGCTAGGATTTTTCTGATGATATCTTGTATATATTAATCTGGTAACCAGGAACTTTGCTAAAAGCACATAATAGTTCTAGTCACTTTCTTGTAGATTCCTTGGGACTTAAAAAATTGAGACATCATATTGCCTATAGTCAACCTTGTATTGTATTTCCTTTCAATGAGTGCCATTGTTTTTCTCTTGCTGATTGTGTGGCTGAGACCTCCAGTGTGATACTGAACAGGAGTGGAGAGAGCAGACATCCTTGCGTTGTTCCTGACCTTGGTGGGAAAGAATTCAGTCCTCTATCAAGTGTGATGTTAGCTCTCCCAGCTCTCGGTTTTTCATAGATGCCCTTTATCAGGTTGAGGGAGCTCTCTTTAATTTTTAATTTGCTTACAGTTTTATCACGAATTGATGTTGAAGATGTCTAAAGTGTTTCCTGCCTCTAGTCAGATGATCATGTGGATTTTCTTCTCTTGCCTGTTGATATGTTGAATTACATTGGTTGATTTTCAAATGTTGAACCAACCTTGCATTCCTGGGATAAACCCAGCTTGGTCATGATGCTGTTATCCTTTTCATGCCTTGCTGGATTCCATTTCCACAAGCTTTGTTGAGAAGTTTTGTGTCTACGTTCATGAGGAATATTGATCTAGAGCAGTGGTTCTCAACCTTCCTAATGCCGCGACCCTTTAATACAGTTCCTCATGTTGTGGTGACCCCCAACCATAAAATTATTTTTGTTGCTACTTCATAACTGTAATGTTGCTACTGTTATGAATTGTAATGTAAATATCTGATATGCAGGATGTATTTAGGCGACCCCTGTGAAAGGGTTGTTCGACCCCAAAGGGCTCGCAACCCACAGGTTGGGAACCACTGATCTAGAATATTCTTTTCTCATATCTTTCTAAGCTTTTAGTAATGAGGGTAATGTTGGCCTCATAACATGACTTGGAAAGTTTTCTGGAAGAGTTTGTAAAATTGGTATTATCTCTTCTTGGTTGTTTAGTTGAATATGCCAGTAAAGCCTGTGGGCCTGGAGTTATTTTTGTGGGAAGAGTAACTATAAATAACTACATATTAGCTATAAAATGTATTTCTTTAGTAAATAATGTGCTATTCATTTATTCTTTTTTTATTTATAATTTTCTTTTCTTTTCTTTTTTTTTACAGAGAGGAAGGGAGAGGGATAGAGAGTTAGAAACATCGATGAGAGAGAAACATCGGTCAGCTGCCTCCTGCACACCTCCTACTGGGAATGTGCCTGCAACCAAGGTACATGCCCTTGACCAGAATCAAACCTGGGACCTTTCAGTCCGCAGGCTGACGCTCTATCCACTGAGCCAAACCAGTCAGGGCTCTTTCTTTTTTTTTTTTGTTTTGTTAATCCTCACCCGAAGATATTTTTCCATTGATCTTTAGGGAGAGTGGGAGAGAGAGGGAAAGACAGAGAGGAATATCGATGTGAGAGAAACTCATTGATTGGTTGCCTCCTGCACAGCCCCGACCAGGGCCCGGGCCAGGGACATGCCCTTGACCGGAATAGAACCTGGGACGCTCTATCCACTGAACCAAACTGGCTAGGGCTTCCTTTATTCTTGAGTGAGCTTTGGAAGTTTGTGTTATTGGAGGAATCTGTCCATTTCACATAAATTATTAAATTTGTTGGCATAAAGTTCATAATATTTACTTCATTATTTTAATATACAGAGGAGCCATAGGGATGTCCCCTCCTCTGACACTAGCAATTTTTCTTTTTCTGTTTTTCTTCACTAGTCTTGCTAGAAGTGTACCAATGTCATTAAAATTCGCAGAGCCAATTTTAATTTTATTTATTTTCTTTGATGTCTTTCAGTTTTCACTTTGATATCTGCTCTTTGCTATTATTGTTGCACACTTTGGGTTTTATTTGCTCTTCTTTTCCTAGAGTTATAAGGTGGGAGCCTTACTAATTGGGTACAGTTCTTCTTTTCTAATATAAGCATTTAATACTACAGGCTTTTTCCCTCTAAGCACTGCTTTGTCTGTACCCAACAGATTCTGATACACTATGTTCTAATTTTTGTTCAGTTCAAAATATTTTCTAATTTCCCCGTGACTTACTCTTTAGCCTATAAATTATTTTGAAGTATGTTGTTTCATTTCCAAATATTTGGGGATTTTTCCAGATATCTTTCTATTGTTGATTTTATAGTTTATTAGTTCCACTGTAGTCCAAGAACACACTTTGTATGATCGCATTCCTTTTAAATATGCCTATCTTATGGCCCAGACAATGGTTGTCTTGGTGGATGCGAGATGTGTTTCTGCTTTTGCGGAGTGGAATGTTCCCCAGATGTCAGCTAGATCACTGTGATTGTTCAGGTCTTCCAGGTCATCACCCATTTTTTGTCTACTTTTTATATCCATGTCTAAGAGAGAGTGTTGAAGTGTCCAGGTTTAATTGAAGATTTGTCTATTTCTCCTTCCGGATCCATCATATATTTTGAAGCTCTGTTGTCAGGTGTATACATGTTTAGGGCTTAGTTGAGGTTACCACTGGAAAGTAGGATTTTTTTTTTTGTATCAATCTGCACGTTAAAAATAAAATTAAAGATAATAACTAAAATAATCACTATCAAGTCAGGCACTTTCTATCTTCAGTCTTTGCACCCAACCTGCAGGGAAGATATTATTTCCATTTTACAGACGAAAGACAAAGGCTTCAATAATTTGCCTGAGGTAGAAGGCTAGTTAGGAAGTAGCTGAGCTGAGACCCTGAAGTCCATGTTCTTTGCCCCTTCAAATAAGTCATTGTTTTTAACCCACACCTAACTGTCAACAGATTCAAGTACAAAGAGGAAATATCTTGAACATTTCTCATGGGCATTTCCTTCCTTTTCAGAATGGTTTAGGGACACACACATGGTTTCTAAAGAGAGTCCCCAACACCCAGTATCCTTTGAGAAACGAATACAGAGGGAACTTTGTAGATGGATGTCGTCATGGCCACGGGAAGTTTTACTACGCCAGTGGAGCCATATATGAGGGGGAGTGGGTTTCCAATAAAAAACATGGCATGGTGAGTACAGGTCTGTGAGGTCACATTTTAAGGACTATGTAAAGCACTTGAAACACAGTACAAGGCGTGCCATTCTCTATGCAATTTGCATAGGATAACTTATTGCTTTTTTCAGACGATTACACAAATTTAAAAATAATCACCAACATAGTTTCCTGATATTTAGAGGTTGTGTGTGTGTGTGTGTGGTTTTGGTTGTAGAAAATCTAGCTTAATCTTCTATAAATTATAAAAAATAACATGGGCTTCTATGTTGGTTTGATTCAGCAATTCAGTGTTGCCAGGTTTTCGCTGTCTATCCATGATGTCCCCTGCCATGTCAGTTTCACCCTTACACTGCCCCTCCCTCATGATTGCAAGATGGCTGCTGTGGTTCCTGCCTTCACATCCACATCCCACACTAAGTAGAAGGGGAGCAGAATCTCTTTTTCAAGAAGCTTTCCACAAACATCTTGAGATTCACTGAACTGAATTGGGTCATTTGCCCATCTCTGAATCAGACTGACAAATGGTCTGGGTTTGACAAATACCAAGAGAGTCCCTTTTCTGTGATGGGCACTCTGCTGGCCATTAGCATAGTTTAATAAGACACATCCTGTGACCTAGGGGTACTTACAATTGGGGAGAGGTTGTGAGGCAGATACAGCAAGAAGAGAGGGGCGAAGAGAAGGAGAATCAGGAGGAGGAGGATTTCTGCAGTGACGTGAGAGTCTAGGAACCTGATTATGTGTGGACTAAGTGCATATCTTAAAAACAAACAGAAACTCAAAACTCTTTGTTGGTTTGTTAATCCTCACCCAGGGATATTTTTTCCCATTGATTTTTAGAAAGAGTAGAAGGGCGGGAGGGAGGGGATGAGGGAAGAGAGAAAGAGAAACATCGATGTCAGAGAGACATACCAATTGGTTGCCTCCTTCACACAGCCCGACTGGGGCCGGGGATCAAAGCCGAAACCCAGGACATGCCCTTGACCGGGATTTGAACCCGAGACACCACTGTCTGCGAGCTGACTCTCTAACCACTGAGCCAAGCCGGCCAGGGCAAAACTCCAAATTCTTGAGAAAGATTTTGATGTACATTTACCAATGGCTTTCTAAGGAACTTTTTTCCTAAACTTCACAAGTTACCTTTCTATCTGCAGGGCCGATTAACTTTCAAGAATGGACGCGTGTATACTGGCCCTTTCTCCGATGACCACATAGCGGAATTTCTAAGTCTCGACAACGAATTAGTACATTACCAAGACCCGTCTGCTGTGTCTGTCCTCGAGAGCCAGTATGAAGGGTCTTCCAGTGCCGGTAAGGAGGTCCCCCTGCCGGCTGAGAGTTCATGGGCCTGCGTTCTCCACTGCTCCACTCATCACAACACCCCTCACCCCGCAGAAGGCAGAAGCTTCCTGGGAGCAACTGCTCTCTCAGTTGCCTATTTATTCATTTACTGAATGTCCTGGGGTGACATCCAACTATATAATAAAAGGGTAATATGCAAATAGACCGAATGGCAGAACAGAACAACCAAAGTGTAATATGCTAATGATATGCTAAGGCAGCTCAACCGCTCGCTATGACATGCACTGACCACCAGGGGCAGATGCTCCGACTGGTAGGTTAGCTTGCTGCTGGGGTCCGTCCAATCGGGACTGAGCGAGATGGGCCGGACATACCCTGGAGCCCTCCTGTGGTCCCTCCCTGGTGGGGTCCCTCAGCCTGGCCTGTGCCCTCTCGCAATCCGGGACCCCTCAGGGGATGTTGGAGAGCCGATTTCAGCCTGATCCCACAGGCCACTCCTCTTGGGAGGGCGCCAGATGCAGGGCTCATGGCTGGTGAGTGCTGTTGCGGCAGCATGAGGCTCTCCTGATCAGGACTGATTGGGCGTGAGCCCATGGCAGGCACAGTGGGGCTGGGATGAGCAGTAGCAGCAGGTAGGAGCTGCAGGCGGCTTTGGACTGCGGGTTTCGACCGGATCCCTGCAGACCACCCAGAGCAGCGGTTCTCAACCTGTGGGTCGCGACCCCTTTGGGGGTCGAACGACCCTTTCACAGGGGTCGCCTAAGACCATCGGAAAACACATATATAATTACATATTGTTTTTGTGATTAATCAATATGCTTTAATTATGTTCAATTTGTAACTGAAAATACATCCTGCATATCAGATATTTACATGACCATTCATAACAGTAGCAAAATTACAGTTATGAAGTAGCAACGAAAATAATTTTATGGTTGGGGGTCACCACAACATGAGGAGCTGCATTAAAGGGTCGTGGCATTAGGAAGGTTGAGAACCACTGACCCAGAGGGACCCCGTCTGTGCATGAATTCGTGCACCGGGCCTCTAGTTGGTTAATGAAATGATACTGGTTTCAGGTGTACAATGCCATAGTACATCATCTGTTTAGTGGGATTTTGGAATGCTCTTGTATCACACGTCTGTGGGAAATTATTTTGGCATAGCACTGAAAAATGTCAACATTGCCTGTCACGTTATCCCCTGTGTTTGCCTCCATTTGCTAGAGATTATCCGAAGGCTTAACGGCAGTGAAAGTACATCCGTGCTAGGCTCGAGCATCGAGCTGGACCTAACTTTGTTGCTAAACATGTACCCTAAGGGGGAGCAACCGGAGGAAAAGAAGCAGGTAAGAACCTTTCGCACTGTTCCAGATTTGTATTTAGGCTTAAATATTTTTTTTTTAGAGAATTGACTTTTTAATGACAGTTGACGGACACTAGTATAGACTTTGTATTTCAGCAGCTCTCCTGATGCCCTCTTCTGTTCCAGGGTCCCGCCCGGGTCCCACCCAGCCTGGTCCTCCCCATCCCTTTAACCTCCTCCAGTCTGTCACGGCTCCTCCGTCTCCCGGACTTTGAGACTTTTGAAGGGCACTGGTCAGTTCTGTCCCTTGTTTGGGTATATCTGATGTTTTCTCAGGATTATATGTCTTTATTATCTGTTCTCAGAATCATTTTGCCAAAGCGTGGGTGTCTTTTCCTGAGCCGGGTCTGGATCATTCTCGTCTCAGCTGGAGCAAGCCGCAGCCTCCTGGCTGTATATGCCTATCCTTTCCCATCCAAACAGCTGCCTTTGCTGTCAGTCAGTGTCACTGGTTAATCGATCCCCTGACATCCAGCCCTCCTTCCAACCTGCCTCTGTCAGTTCCCCTCCTCACCATGCCTTCCCGCTCCCAGTTTGCTGAGGGTGTCCGTCAGGAATGGATGTTGCGTTTTGTCAAATGCATTGATGCGATCACGTGTCCTTTCTTCCTAGTGAATAATACGGTGACTTACACGGACTGACTTTTCAAAGGTTGAACTGGCCTTGCAACCCCAGGATAAACCCCGCTTGGTGTGGACATGCTATATTTTTAAATATGTTGCGAGATTCGATTTGCTAGTCTTTTGTTGAGGATTTTTGTGCCTGTGCTCCTGCGGGATATTGATCTGTAGACGAGAGAATTTGGTTGCTGCCGTTCAGACGGGCTGCTAGCACCGAGCAGCAAGAAAGGGGTTCCCCTGTCCAGATGACCGCACGTTTTCTGTCACTCAGAAATTGCATGCTGTTGGCCTGGGGTCGGGCGGGGAGAATACAGTCCTCGCTGAGCTCTCTCAGTGACCAGAGGTGAATGCTCCTACTTCCCCTGTGTCATCGCATTAATCTAGCAAACAGGTGTTTCTCTGCTTTTGTTCTCATCGGGCAAGATTAAGATATGCATGGCTTTCTCCTTTCAGGTAGAATATGCTATCTTAAGAAATATTACAGAATTAAGGAGAATTTACAGCTTCTACAGCAGCCTAGGATGTGAGCGGTCCCCGGATAACACCTTTCTGATGACGAAGCTTCAGTTCTGGAGGTTTCTAAAGGATTGCAAATTTCACCACCATAAAATAACTCTCGCCGACATGGACAGGGTAATAAGTGGTGAGTACTCCAGGCCTGGCACACCTCTCAGTTCAAAGAGTAGTGTGACAGCTTGTCACCAGGAACCCAGTTAGGAGGTGTTGAGGGGTGAAGGCAGAGGCTGGGAGGGGTGTTGCAGAAATCAGCACGTGGCATCTTTCTGCTCAAGGTGCTTAAAATGCACTTGAAGAGGCATCTGGTGATGTAACAGCAACCCCATGGCCATCTACAGCTGGGAGGGTCAGCAAAGCAGGGGCTCCTTGCCTGTTTTTATAAATAAAGTTTTATTGGAACACATCCATGCCCATTTCTGTACCTATTGTCTGTGGCGGCTTCTGCCCTAAAACACCAGAACTGAGTGGTTGTGGCAGAGACTGGCCCACAAAGCCTGACCCTTTGCAGAGAAGTTTGCCTACCTCTGATCTATAGTAAAAACATGCTAAATTGTCGGGTAGGAAGCAGAGGGTGTCAGGGAGAACGAACGGCTTAGAATAGCCTAGAAAAGGCGTCAGGTAGTCTTGGGCTTGGTCTCGATTTCAAATTAAAAAGTTCATGCAGTAAATTTAATGACTTTGAAGGTTTTACTCCTCTCAGCTGAATTCCGGGAGGCAGGACTGAAAGCCTCCAGTTATCTACTTGAAAAATAAAATATTAGAACTACTCACTTCAAATTTGAGTGTTTAAAATAGACCTGGAATCCATTTAGAATTATCAGCATTAATCAAATTAGGCTCAGAAAACTTGGAAACACATTGGGACACGAGACGTTGAAAGTTTCTTGTGTAAAGTGACTAGATAAAGATCTTTCGAGTGGGACTTGATTTTTAGGTGGATGCGGATATACAGCTCCGAGTATTCTCTAGGAAGAAAAGTACTCACTGCTTGGGATTGTGTAGCAGGAGAAAATAAAAGAGAAGATTCTAGAAAATACTAATCATCCTCTTCAATTTTCTTATTCCAGAATACAGTGGCATACCAGTTGAAGAGATTCATTCTCCATTTACAAAAATACTTTTGAGAATATTTCTGACCTATCTCCTGCAGCTGGCTTACCACATTCATCACAAAGAATACCAGTAAGTCTACTTCTGGACCCTGGGAGAGGACGCAGGCAGAGCTGGCCGTTCTGGCAGTTACATTTGTCCTCTTTTCTTTCTTTATTTTTTAAAAAATTGGTTTCAGAGAGAGAGAGAGAGAGAAACATTGATCAGTTGTCTCCTGTCCGGGGATCCAACCTGCAGCCTGGGTACAGGTCCTGACCGGGAATCGAACCCGCCACCTTTTGGTACGCAGGACGATGCTCCAACCAGCAGAACCGCCCAGCGAGGGCTGGCCTCTTGTCTTTGTCATTCTCATCATTATTTTCACAAACTCTAGAACTTAAGGGCTCGACACAAAAATATTAACCACAAAACCATCAGATACCAGCTTTAAACGTGGAACCCTTCAGATGTGACTCGTCATGTGTCAGTACCTGCAAATAGCTCTCAGGGTTTTACTCAGAAATAGTCACAACCAACGTTACCTTCGGCCAGAACTTCCTGTCTCTCTTGGAGCAAAATTGACGTGCAGACCCCTCACTGCTTCCCCGGATAGCATCTTGCAGAACCAAGGTGCACGTATGGAAGTTAAGGAACTACCATGGTTGTAGTGCCACTAAGTAAATTACAGACTCTATTGGAATTTCCCTGAATTTTCCCACCCTTGTCCCGTTTCTGTTCCGGGATTCAATCCAGGATCCCACATTGTGGAAAGTTGACATAGCTTAGTCCCCTACAATCTGTGATAGTTTCTCAGACTTTGTCTTCTACGACCTGACACTTTTGAAGAAAATCGGTCAGTTAATATAAAATATCCCTCGATTTTGGTCTGCAGAGCTTTCCCCTCATTCCACTGAGCCTAGGGGTTTTGCGGAAGAATATCAGGGAGGTGAGCTGTGCTTCCCGTCACATCCTATCAGGGAATCTGACATCACTGTCTCATTACTGGTGATGTTCACCTTGACCACCTGGTTACAGCGATGACAGCTGCACTGTCTCCCGGACACTCACTATTTTTCCCTTTCTATACCCTGCTTGTTAGAAGCCAGTTCCCGAGCCCATAGGGGGGGACCCACCTCTTGGAAGGGGGAGTGATCATATCTTTTTAATCACAGACACAGAAGCCCCTCGCTCTTTCTGTGTTTCACAAAACTGATGACAGAGAACATTCATCCCAACGCCTGCCATGTAAAAGGTAAACACAGAACCAACAGGATTCTATTCAGCACTATTTCTTCAAAGTGTAATGTTGGAACCATGCTTTGCGTGTTTACCTTTCTGTGGTATTTCTAGGCAGTTTATTCAGTGGGCCACAGCGGTCCCTCTACTCGATGAATTACATCGACATGTGCTGGGAGATTTACATGGCGCACTGCAGGCCGAGCACAGTGCCGCCCCACGAGCCCGCCATGAAGATGAGGCACTTCCTCTGGATGCTCAAAGTAAGCAAATGATTTTAATGAAAGGAAGCGTATGCCAGACGGTGCGCAAACGGCGAGGGGAAGATCTGGGATGGGTTTCACAGCCAAGGAACGTCTCCCGGGTCTCTTTGGGCAGAAAGGAGTAATTCCACGGGGCTGTGGCAGGGAATGGGTGGAAACGGAGTGCCCACCACTATGCTCCCACGCAGGGGACGGTGCAGTGGGGGCCCCGATATCTTTACTGATGCTGACCGTGCGGTTAAAGGAACGGGGATGAATGCCACTTAAAAAAATTACAGTCATTCCCGTAACCGGTTTGGCTCAGTGGATAGAGCGTCAGCCTGCGGACTGAAGGGTCCCAGGTTTGGTTCCGGTCAAGGGCATGTACCTTGGCTGCGGGCACATCCCCAGTGGGGGGTGTGTAAGAGACAGCTGATAGATGTTTCTCGCTCATCAACGTTTCTAACTATCCCTCTCCCTTCCTCTCTGTAAAAAAAATAAATCAATAAAATATATTTAAAAAAAATTACCAGTCCTCAAAAAGTAATTTACAAAAGTTATCAGTTTGGGAAGTAGTGAGAGCATCTAATTTACACAGCATTTCCATACTAAATATTGGTAGCTTTTGTTTCCTGATACTTTTGATTTATGCTTGTGGAAAGATACATGCTAAAACTGAAAGAATTGGATACTAATAGGGGATAGAGTGCTTTAAGAAATTTAAGTGTTGTGTGTATATGAAAAACTGACAGTCTAGTGTCTATAGGAAAATCGTTTTTTTATAAAGTATGTGATTTTTTTTAATTATTATTTTTTAAAATCCTCACCTGAGGATATTTTTCCATTGATTATTACAGAGAGTGGAAGAGAGAGAGAAAGGCAGAAACATCAATGTGAGAGAAACATATCAATTGGTTGTCTCCTGCCTGCACCCCGACCAGGGCCCGGGCCAGGGAGGAGCCTGCAACCAACGTATGTGCCCTTGACTGGAATCGAACCCGGGACCCTTTGGTCCGAAGGCCAGTGCTCTATTCACTGAGCCAAATTGGCTAGAGCCTTTCTTTCTTTTTAAAAAAATTTATTTTTATTGATTTCAGAGAGGAATTGAGAAATAGAACCATCAATGATGAGAATCATTGATCGGCTGCCTCCTGCATGCCCCCAAATGGGGATTGAGCCCACAACCTGGGCTAGTGCCCTGACTGGGAATCGAACTATAAACTCCTGGTTCCTAGGTTGACACTCAACCACTGAGCCACGCCAGCTAGGCAACAGTTCTTTTTTTTTTTTTTTTTTTTTTTTAATATATTTTATTGATTTTTTACAGAGAGGAAGGGAGAAGGATAGAGAGTTAGAAACATCAATGAGAGAGGAACATTGACCAGCTAGCTGCCTCCTGCACGCCCCCCACCGGGGATGTGCCCGCAACCAAGGTACATGCCCTTGACCAGAATCGAACCTGGGACCCTTCAGTCCGCAGGCCGACGCTCTATCCACTGAGCCAAACAGGTCAGGGCAACAGTTCTTTTTTATTGCTGATAGCATTCCGTTTGATGGACACACCACGAAGATTTGTTTATGCATTCACCTATGGACATTTGGGTTGTTTATAGTTTGTGGCTGTAATGAATAAAGACAGTATGAACAATTGTGTACTGTGGACAGTTTTCATTTCTCTGGGGTAAATGTGCAAGATTATAGTTGGGTTTTGTAATAAATATTTAAAAATTTTTTAAACCACCAACATATTTTCTGAAGTGGTCAGACCATTTTACACCCACACCAGCAATGTCTGCCAATATCTGTCTTTTAATTGGTGATAGACCATTTACATTTAATGTAGTTACTGATATGTTAGTGTAAGTCTGCTGTTTCTTTTTTCAGTTATTTTGTTTCTTCTGTTTTTCATTTCTCTGCTTTCTTTTACCTTGTCTTCCTGTGGGTCACTTGGAAGGTTTTAGAATTTCATTTTGATGTCATCATTTTACTAATATAGTGAAGTACAGAAACCCCGCTTCCCTTTACGTCTCTTCACCCCCACCACTTATAATTGATACTTCCTCTTTAGTTTAGAACCACATCAGACAGTGTTATAATTTTTGCTTCAACTGTCAGACAAGACATCATTTATGAAACTCAAGAGGAAAAGGAAAGTTTATTGTATTTTCCCGTATTTTTTTTTTACCATGTTCTCCCTTCCTGAATGGAGGTTATTCCGTGTATACCCTGTGTTTTGGGGGGTATAATGATAATGGGAAAATGAAGTTTTTTATTTTATTTATTGTTGACACTATTATCTGTAGATATTGATCTCTTATTTTTTTTTTAATTTTTTTTTATTGATTTCAGAGAGGAAGAGGGAGGGAGAGATAGAAACATCAATGATGAGAGACTCATTGATCAGCTGCCTCCTGCACACCCCCTACTGGGGATCGAACCTGCAACCCTGGCATGTACCCTTGACTGTATGGAATCCGGGACCCTTCAGTCCATAGGCCGACACTCTATCCAGTGGTTCTCAACCTTCCTAATGCCGCGACCCTTTAATACAGTTCCTCATGTTGTGGTGACCCCCAACCATAAAATTATTTTCGTTGCTACTTCATCACTGTAATGTTGCTACTGTTATGAATCGTCATGTAAATATCTGATATGCAGGATGTATTTTCATTGTTCGAGACCCACAGGTTGAGAACCGCTGCATCCACTGAGCCCACCCAGCTAGGGCTCGGTATTGATCTCTTGATGTACAGTTTTTCAAGGGAGGATTTCTCCTACCACCTGGGGTTCATAAACCTGGTTTTCACCGTTCCTAGAGGGGAGGGGAGGGGGGGGGGTCGGTGTGGAGGGAGGAGCCTCCCAGGATGCACTTCCGCGTCCTGTTTCAGCAGCTCTGTGACTTTAGGGGACCACGTGTTTTCCAGGCCATGTGCTCTCTGGTTCAGTATCTGAGACCAAGCCTCTCTTCAGCTTAGAGGTGGAAAGGTCTTTGCCTCAACTCCCAGGGAGTCTTCCTGTGTCAGCCCTACCTGCTGTGTGCCTCTCCCCCACAGGGGACCTGCCTTGCCTCCAGCCTCCCTGAGCTCCTATTCCTCTGCTCTGCTGAGTCCCCTGTCCCCACTTCCCCACCTGCAGAGTGGGTTGCTGTCTCACATCTGGATCACCCACTTTCCCATTCTCTGTCCTGTGTTTATGTCCCTTAAAATCTTCACTGTTACATATATATTTTATTGATTTTTTACAGAGAGGAAGGGAGAGGGATAGAGAGTTAGAAACATCAGTGAGAGAGAAAAACATCGATTAGCTGCCTCCTGCACACTCCCCACTGGGTAGTGTGCAACCAAGGTACATGCCCTTGACCAGAATCGAACCTGGGACCCTTGAGTCTGCAGGCCGATGCTCTATCCACTGAGCCAAACCGGTTAGGGCTTCATTGTTACTTTTGAAGGATTAGGTTAGGAGAAGAGGTAACTACCAATGTGAATCCAGAATGCTTCACAAAACTATCAGTTTTCAAGATACCCATTTCTGGTATATTTTCTTACAGCGTTGTACTGATATAAATTGACGTAAAAAACAGAGATGTTGCCGAAACCGGTTTGGCTCAGTGGATAGAGCGTTGGCCTGCGGACTGAAAGGTCCCAGGTTCGATTCCGGTCAAGGGCATGTACCTGGGTTGTGAGCATATCCCCAGTGGGAGATGTGCAGGAGGCTGCTGATCGATGTTTCTCTCTCATTGATGTTTCTAACTCTCTATCTCTCTCCCTTCCTCTCTGTAAAAAATCAATAAAATATATTAAAAAAACAACAACAAAAAACCCCCCCAAAAAACAGAGATGTTTGTAATTATAGTTCCTTATGTTTGATTGGTTGTTTCTTTTATAGGACTTTAAAATGATAAATAAGGAATTAACATCAACCAAATTTGTGGAGGTCATAGCGGAAGACAATCCTTTCATGTATGATGGAATTGACTGCAACTTGGAACTTGAGGTCTGTAGTGAGGTGGCTCAGTGGTATAGGTCCCATTCAGGCTGTTTGTTTTGCATTGGATACTAGAACCAAGATTTGATTGAAAAGAATTCTAACCCATGCAAAACTATAAGTGTGTGTGTGTGTGTATCCTTGATTGTATTAAAAAACTAGAGATTAAGATTAAAACGAAGACTTCAGATGTCAGGAAATGTAAATATTTCTCTCTTCTACGCGTCCAGTGCGGCTAGAGAGTGGTCCAGTTCCTGAGTAGGGGTGGCTGGGGATTGAGAAAATGAAAGAGACAGACACAGAGATGGAAGGAAAAAGCTGGGGCCAGGTGGGACAGCTGTCTTCTGATGCAGAGTCAGGGACAGGGACCCAGAGCCAATACAGCGTGTTTATTTTATACAGCAAAAAACAGGAAGTTTTATTAAAAGTCAAGACAAAGGAGATTATGTGCATTCTTGGGTATTCCTGGTGCTTGGCTGGATTTAAATAACAAAACCCACCCCCTGGCACCTGGGCTGAAGGTCAAGCTGACAACACTCCTGCCTTTTGGCAAAGCGTGTTTCCAGGATGTGGCTTTGCCAACGCCACTGGCTTCAGGTGACGATAATTAAAGAAATGCGCGTGTGCCTTCCCAGGCGCTCTCTACAAGGAAACAATGACCAAAGTCAAAAGAATATGAAACTACCATGCTGTTTCATGGATAGCTTATTTAGCAATTGAATTCATGTATATGTTCTGTGGTATACATGTCATATACTCAAAGATGCTGATTGGTCTCCTCCTCCTTTGAGTTAGGTATGTGTCTTTAATTGTTAGTGTTTCTTGCAGCAGGCAAATGTCTCCTTTTTCCAGCTAGACCCATCATTGGGCAGGTCTCAGCAAACTGTCAGACCAGGGACCCTGGTGCTGCGGGCATGCTGACCGACTGGAAGAACCAAGTTTTGGGTCTTCCCTGGAAGCAAGGTTCTTGCTCCTGGAAGCAGGTAGAGGCCGGCCTGGAGCCTCTGGTCAAATTAGGGGCCTGTTCCAGCTCAGACTCAAAAGGGCCCTGGGCTCAGGACCAACAGCTGGACAAAGTCCGAGCCAGCCAGCCCCAGGTGCACGCACTCTGCAGGCCCGTGTCGGGGCCACGTGGGTGTGGGGAGGGGGACAGGATGGCTGCCAAGTGGGTAACACACTCGACACTTGGTTTCTGGGTGCCACTTTTCTACTTAAGAAAAAAGGAAACACTGGAAAATGACGGCCCTCCATTAGCTGTTATAAAATGTCTTCATCAAAGTAGAGAAGCGGCTTACAGATGGAATAATAGAACATAGAATAGGCCTCTTAAATGCTGTAGGTTTGATTGCAACCTCGTGTACACCCCGGATCCTTCAGCCCTGAGGAGGGGGTGGTGGTCTCTGGAGCAGAGAAACAAACGCCGAGGTGAGCGCTGACCCGCCTCCAGGTGTGTCAGGATGAATGAGACTCTAATTTCTTCTATTTCAGCTTGTGTTCTTGGAATTCTTTGAGGCTCTCTTGAGCTTCGCATCCATCTCTGTTACTGACCAAATGACCAAATCCCATGTAAGTGGCCTATGCGATGACTTCACTGGAAACAGAGCTGGGATCGCGTATCTGCCAACAGACAAGGTAGAATTTGGAGCAAGGGGTGGTTTCATTCTGGAATGGGTCACCACCCTTAAAACTATCCTGGGCTTTTGTAACCCTTCTGGAAATGACTGAAGACTTCTTTTCACATGTTGTTTTTCTTTTTTAAGTTAGAGAAATGGGTTTCCTAGTCACACCCCAGGAAGCCGTCTCCTAGCCCCCAATAGGCGCTACTGTAACGAAGGTCAGAGTGCCCGCAAACACACTGGGTGGCCACGAGTCTTAGAACCCCTGAGATGCTTGTTAAGTCACCTAGTGTTGGCGGGGGGGGGGGGGGGGGGATCTGTCGCAGAGCCCAGGCGCTAAGGGACAGCTCCTGAGTGTGCACGAGGTGCTGGAGGGGGCCCTGAGGATGGGGCCTGCTCACCGGGCTGGGCCCAGGCAGGCCTCCCTGCCAGGCCTCAGTGGAGCAGGGCCGTGGCAGTAATTCACTGAAGGACCCAATGCTGAGGCAAATTGAGACAAACCAGTTGTGGATGGGCGTTTTGGGTTAGTGGGCTTGAAGGATTTCTGGGCCATTTATTTGGAGTCACAAGGGAGAGTTTTGGGGGTCAGGGGAGCCCCACAGCTGCAAAACCCTTCAGAGCTGGTCATCTAGGAGCCTTCTCCCGTTGTTGAAGGAGAGCCTCTTGCCTACCGCGAGGCCCTGGGCTGTGCCTTGGGCTCCTCGTGTGCCAGCAGTTTAACTTCAGCACCTCACAGTTCACCCCTGTGGCCAGGCTGGCTTCTTCCAGGTTGAAGGGGTGACTGATGGCTTCTCCAAGTCACCTGGGAGCCTGGTCACTGGCTACAATGTCTGGGGCTCTGCTTTGGGGAAATGAACGTCTACCTTACATTCATCTATGCTTGCCTGGCCGGTGTGGCTCTGTGGTTGAGTGTTGACCTATGAACCGGGAGGATCATGGTTCGATTCCTGGGCAGGGTACATGCCCGGGTTGTGGGCTTGATCCCCAGTGTGGGGTATGCAGGAGGCAGCCGATTAATGATTCTCTCTCATCATGGATGTTTCTCTCCCTCTCCCTCTCTCTGAAATCAGTAAGAATATATTTTTAAAAATTCATCCATGCTGGGATGGATGGCATCGCTGTGGATGCCAGGAACTGAGTCTGAACATTCTGGTCTAGGGGTCATCCTCAGACACCATCCTATCAGCTTCACTCTGGCTGTCATGTGGCATTTCCATTGCCCATCAAGATAAACAAATCACACTGCATTCATACCATGGAGTGTGTGAGCCAGCAACAAAATCGCACGATACATGCAACGTGCATGAATCAAAATAAGTATGCTGGGTGGAAGAAGCCAGACAAAAATGCTGGTTAGATACTATTGTGTAGAAAATTCTAGAAAGTGTCAAGTAATCTGTAGTGACAGAAAGCATATCAGTGGTTGCTGAGGATGGGGAAAGAGGGGTCCCCAAGGGGCACAGGGAACTTTCAGGGGTGATGGATATGTTCACTGTTCTGACTGAGGTGGTTTCACACGTGTAGACATGTTGACATTCATCAACTGGTGCCCTTTACGTGTATGTGTGTGTATGTCCGTCTCCATGGAAGCCAGAAGTTCTCATGGTTGTCCTTCCTCTGACCATCAGAACAGGAGCCTGAGCGCAGCAGCGAGCCAGGAGTCTGATGTGCACTTGGTCAACTCCATGTTGTCTTCATCCAAGTTAGCGCTCTTGCTCGATTTCAGCAAAATCCAGATAACAGAGGTTTGTGTTTACAACCCAACCCGTAAAACCCGTGACGAGGTGCAGCTTCCAGCACTTTGTGTACCTAGTGTGCTGAGCGCTCGTCCGCGCTGGGATCTGGCAGTGAACTTGAGGCCCATCCTCCCAGGGACCATACCGTCTAGTGAGGGGGCGGGGGGGGTTGATGCCAGGTGAACACAGGAACAGCTGACACCCACGGGTGCTTACCAGGTGCCATGTGCTTCCCGGGCACTAGCTCGCGCAGCACCCCCAGCAACCATTAGGTGCTACTGTTATCTCTAGGCAGGAGCTGAGGCCAGGAAGGGTGCGGAGCGGGCCTTCTCGGATCTAGTCAGTCGTGGAGCGGGGGTTGTATCCCGGCGGTCTGGCTCCCAATTGGCCCCATGACCATAGCGCTGTGTTTACACTCATTGACCAGAAGCGAGAGCCAGGCAGGCTGCAGATTGGAGTGATGCGGGCAGGTAGGAAGGCCTTCTGATGAAGTAACAGCTGAGCATACCTGAAGGCAGTGAAGTACAACCGTGTGATCCCCTGGGGAAGACGTTCTGTGCAGAGGCCTGAGGTGGGAGCACGCCCCGGTTGTGGGCGGAACAGCTACAGGGAGTGGAGCCACGGGGGAGGCGGTGGGCCAGCCCAGGGAGGTGTCTGACTGTGGTGAGGGAGATACAAGCCCTGAGAGCAGAGGGGTCGGCAGGCTCACTATGGCTTCGTTGACAAACCAGTCAGGAAGCTTCTGGAATGATCGGAAGGGGCTTGGAAGGCTGTGGCCTGTGAGAGGGAGAGAGAAGGCAAAGGTGATCCCAAGATTTGGGGCCCGAACGACTGGAAGAATAGTTACTGTTGACCACGACAGGGGAGGAGACGGGGCGGGGGGATGAGATCGGGGTGAAATTAAGGGGCTGGATTTGGACATATTAGGACACATGCCATCCAAGTGGTGAGCAAGTAGCACGGCTGGATATACAAGTGTGGAGTTCAAGGGCGAGATCTAGCTCGAGACAGAAATGTGGGTGTGAATAGCATATGTGTGGGAATTAAAGCCATTAATATATGAATGTAAGTAGTATTAACTGTGCATAATATTTCCTCAACTCCTTGGTTTCTTGGCGGGGAGCCTTGCAGTAGATACAGTAACTGCTACTTAGCTTAAAGAGAACAGCCTCATTAACAATTTCTAATTATTTGAAATGTAGAAAATTAGTTTTAGTACATGATGATGCAGAAATAATATTCTTTATAATTTTTGTGTTTTTTTTTTCCATAAAAGCCCAAGTTCAGGAAGTCACTAAGTGATGACAGAATTTCCAAAATGACTATTAAATCTCCAGGAAAAGGGCTAATGTTTTCATTACCTCATTGTGGTGAGTATCTTAATTATATAACTTTAATTTTGGCAAACTGTTGCTTATACATGATTTTTAAAATTTATGAAAAAATGTACAACCATCTTAAAACATTTTTTTAATTAAAAAATTATGTATATAATTAGGCTGGTACTGCTGCTTCCAATTCTGTCTCCAGCTTCACAGAGTACCTTGTCGGGCATGATCTTATGAGTTTTGGGTTTGTTTGTTTTTGGTATATTTTTTCAGCTTCATGGAGATATAATTGACCTGTAGTACTGTATAAGTTTAAGGTATACAACATAATGATTTGACTTACATATATCATGAAATGGTTGCCTCAATTCATTTAATTAATATCTATCTCATAGATAGCAAACCATTTTTCTTGTGATGAGAACCACTGGGACTTACACTCTTAACTTTCATATACAACAAACAGTGCCGAACTAGCGCCGTCATGTTGTACATTACATCCCTGCTGCTTATTTATCTTCTCAGTAAGTGGAAGTTTGTGCTTCTCGAGGACCTTCCGCCAGTTCTCCCCCCCACTCCCCCCCACCCAACCGCAAATCTGCTTGTTCCTGAGTTTTTATGTTGTTGTGACGGTCCTACATGTAACCGAGATCCTACAGTGTTTTTGTCTGACTTACTTCACTTAGCATAAGGCCTGGAGGTCCATCCACGTTGCTGCAAATGGCACGACTTCCCCCTTGTGTTTGGCTGAATAGAATCATGTTGTATGTGTGTTCCACAACTTCTTACCCAGTCGTCTGTTCGTGAACACGTGGGCTGTTCCCATGACAATAATGGGAAGCAGCTATCTATTCGACATTGTTTCTATTTTCTTTGGATATCTTCCCAGAAGTGGAATTGCTGGGTCATAAGGTAGTCGTTCTATTTTTGACATTTTAAGGAATTACCATAGTGTTTTCCACACACCAGCCAGGAAGCTCCTGGAATGATCAGAAGGGACTTTGCTCCCACTACTGACCCGTTTCCCAGCATGCTCTCCCTGGTCTTTGTGATGGTGGCCATTCGAACAGGTGCGAGTCTGTTGGGCATTTCCCCGGTGATCAGTGATGTGGAGCAGCTTTTCACGCTGGCCATCAGTATGTCCTCTTAGGAGCAATGTCTACTTGGATCCTCAGTTACATTGTGTTTTTTTGTGGTTATTGGTTTTTATGAGTTTATATATTTTGGATATTAACCCTCCTCAGATATGATTGGCAAATGTTTCCTCCCATTCTGTGGACTGCCTGTCCACTTTATATGCTTTCCTTTGTTGTGCAGAAGCTTTTTAGTCTTCTGGAAGCTTCTCTATGACTAGGTACAGGAACACCTGAATGCCAGGCGGCTGCCAGGATTGCAGCCCATAGGAGACTTAACCAACAAGTAATACTGAGGCTGTCTCCTTCGCTTTGGTTTTGAAAGATGCTCAAGTTGAAAACAACAACTAAACCCTCATTCAATCCCTCACATTCCTCTTACTATCCTCCCGCCTAGTCACATCCTGTAGCATTCTATCTGCTGAGTCCACCTCCTCCCCTCCCCGTTGCTTCCTCAGCCTGTCCGCACGGGCTTCCAGCTGCATCCCTCCCCTCCCGCTGGGGCACCCAATGCCTCCGGGTCCTCTTTCCAAAGAAGAGCCAGGTATGCTGATCTGAAAAGTCAGCATCATCCAAGCACTTGGAAATTAAATGCAAAGCAAACAACAAGCAGCTGAAGTCCTCTATTCTGCTAAAGAATTCTTTGAGAATACAGTGGGGCCTTGACTTACGAGTGTCCTGACTAATGAGTTTTTTGAGATACCAGCTGTCTCTCGGCCGATTTTTTGCATTGAGTTGATAGAGTAATTTGAGTTAACGAGCTCCTTAACGAGCTCGGTCTCGAAACGAATTAAACTCGTAAGTCAAGGCCCCACTGTACTTAGAAAATTGAAATAATTAAACATTACATACAAGACATGGTCAAAACTATAAAATAAATTTATAGTATTAAGGGTCTTCACTGTTAAATAAGAAACTCTGATAACTAAACATTCACCCCAGAAGATAAAGGGAGGAATATCCAAGTGCAAGGAGAGCAGGAGGAGCATGGCGACAAAAGACACTCACAAATGAGGCATAGGAGAGCGAAAAATATTGAAACTGACCATTCTAAAAGCTGGTTCTTTAACTAAAAAGAAAATAGACATCTTCAACCTAGTACAGTCAGAATAAAAGTGGTAAATACACACATCCTAACTAGGAAGAGAAAATTAATAACAAAAGTCAACTTAAGAAAATATAGGAAACCTGAATAATCATGGCCGAAAAACTGTGAATAAGTCAGACAGATAAAGACAATTGCACCTGGCCAGTGTGGCTCAGTGGTTGAGCATCAACCTATGAACCAGGAGGCCATGGTTCAATTCCCAGTCAGGGCACATGCCAGGGTTGTGGGCTTGATCCCCAGTGTGGGTCATTGCAGCAGCAGCTGATCAATGATTCTCTCTCATCATTGATACTTCCTTTTTATTGGTTTTCTTTTCTTATCATCATTGATAATTATCTCTCCCACTTCCTCCTCTGAAATAAATAAAAGTATATTTTATAAAAAAAAGAATATTACGCCCTAGCCAGTTTGGCTCAGTGGATAGAGCATCAGCCTACGGACTGAAGGGTCCCAGGTTTGATTCCAGTCAAGGGCATGTACCTTGGTTGCGGACACATCCCCAGTAGGGAGTGTGCAGGAGGCAACTGATTGATGTTTCTAATTCTCTATCCCTCTCCCTTCCTCTCTGTAAAAAATCAATAAAATATATATTAAAAATAAAAGAATATTACTTATGCCCAGCCAGTGTTGCTCAGTGGTTAAGCATTGACCCCATGAACCAAGAAGTCACCAGTTCATTCCCAATCAGGGCACATGCTGGGTTGTGGGCTCCATCCCCAGTAGGGGGCGTGCAGGAGGCAGCTGGTCAATGATGTTTCTCCCTCATCGGTATTTCTACCTCTGTCCTTTTCCCTTCCTCTCTCTCTAAAAAGAATATTACTTCTTATCCAATTCAGAGTTTAAAATCCTTTTATTTTCTTAATGAAAACTGTCTTTAAGACAATATACACAAATGCCAAGCAGATTTCCTTTTCCTGAAACATGGACAATGTTAATACATTTTCTAAAATTTTAATTTAAAAAAACAACAACAAAAAAAAACACTTAAGCTATTCAGAAAAACATCACAGGTGCCAGGAGACTGGAGAAACCTAATGGTCACAGCTATGGCGCAGTGGCGCCTGCCTCGCCCCCTGGTGGTCCGTGCAGCGTCCTGCAGCTCCTTTCACCCCCAGAGGCCAGAGGAGCACCGCACCCCTCCTAGAGGGGCAGAATATGGGCACGGCTCCAAGGTCGCCGCACCACTGGATGGATGCTCACTGAAGTGAAACTTTCTTCCAGAGAGAAAAAAAGGCAAGGACGAACAATGCGAAAACATCAACAGGTGGATCAACTGTATGTGTATCTTTTTTGTGAACACGTTCTTCCAAGCATACAGACATGAAGAAACTCTCAAGGAGAAAATAAAGGAAAATAAGTTACATTTCACAGCCATGGCCAAGTGGAGGAAGACAGAAAACGACGAGCTGGAAGCAAGGTAACTAGAACCCTCTCGGCCCCTACCTGGAGCTGCCAGGAGCCGGGACCAGTGCTTTTGCTGAAAGCACACGACTTCCTGGGGAAGGAGGGGGGGGGCGAGAGGGAAGGGGGCGGGGTGGTGGTGCCTGTCCTCATGGGGCTCCCCGGAAGAACCCTCCCTGGGAGCTTCCTGTTCTCTAAGGTGGTGGTGACGTCTGTGTCGCAGGGCTCACACAAAGAGGCAATGTGACAGAGTCGCTGAGTCAGACCACAGATCTAGATCGCCTGGGTTCAAATCCCAGCCCACCATTATAACCTGGGTGACCCTGGGCAAAGTCAGCCACTTGTGTGCCTCAGTTTCCTGGTCTGCAAGCTGCGGTGAGGATGACGTGAGCTAATGTGCATAAAGCACGTAAAACAATGCCAGGCACACGGCCCTGAAGGGCTGCACCCTTACCTGTCCCGAGCCTCTGTCCGGGCTCAGTTCTGTGCACACGTGTTGGGCCAGAGTCCAAACGCCTGCTTTCTGTAACGTGCCCCTCAAGCCTGTCGGCCTGTGGAAGAAGGCAGTCAACTGGTCTTAAGCAAAAGGACTCAGAGGATTTTCAAAGGCTACTTACTAGCTGCCTGTTGCTAAGAGAAAAGTGGTCCACAAGTCACTGCAGCTCTCGTCTAGATATGATATCAATTTAGTTCAGAAAGTGACGATAACTTAGTTTTTGGAAACTAAGTTATAGACAACTTTACTCCACATGGAGCATAAAAGCTGCTTTGAAATTACAAAGGAAGTAACACCATCTCCTTCTGCTTGCTTCTGGTGATAGGCTTCTGATGTTGGAGATGAAAGAGGAAGAGGTCAAAAGACAAGACCACCACGTGGTCGACATCACTGTGATCAAGGAACCGGTGGACATCCCATCCCTGCATGTAATGCTGGGCCTCCCGAAAGAGGCCCACGTATTGGGCCTGTCCAAATCCTTCGTAAGTAAGAAGAAGAAAAGATAGAGGTGACCGGGTTTGTCAACGAGCCACAGGAACCAGCAGATGTGAAAGCAGGTTAGACCAAAGCACTGCAATGCATTTCCTGACCAATACAGTTGTGTTTTACTTCCCGTCGCAGTGTGCTTGAATACCACGCCCTGTCCACTGTTCCCAGTTTTTCTAAGGTTGGACCACTCAATGCCTGCGCTCTGAAAACTGAGCTGCATGAAAATACATGGATATGGGGAGTAAGTGAGTGTGTATTCAATATGATTGGTGATTAAGTTTTGAATCTGATAAAACCAATCACATATCAATGGGGAGTAGATGCACTCATTGAAACATTTCTTCAGGCTCCCTCCCCAAAATAGTTCCTGTGCCCCTTGTCACCGCCCTGTGTCCATATCCTACCTGTCCTCTTACCTGGCGGCCTCTTACGGGACTCATTCCCGCGAGTCAGCACCACAAACATTGCAGGACCCAAGGTCAGGAGCGGGTGTGCAGTTGGCGGTTAAGTGAATACTCTAAGTCTCTGTTAGAAAATGTCAGAGCTAATAATTTGTTTTAAAATTTAAGACCTACCACCAAAAGCATAAAAAGACAATTTCTAGCTTTCCAACTGGCAGAAGGAAGAAAACTATCATCTAACATAAATCTTGGAAAAAAGGAGAACAATGAAGAAAAAAGATGGAAACAGAAAACAAAAGATGGTGGGGAGAAGTGCCAAGATACCAGGAATCACCAATGTAACAGGCTAAACTCACCTCTTCCCCTCCCAAGCTCCAGAGGTACTTAGATTGGATAAAAAAAAATAAAAATCACTTCAATGTTCCTCTTTACAAGGGAAACATCTTCAACAAAATCATATAGAAAAGATAAAAATAAAAGTAGGAAAAATGCACCCGGAAAATCTAATCAAGATGATTAGAAAGCAAGCATTATTAAAGGTCAACAACATAGAATTTAAAGCAAATATCAGCATAATACAGATAAAAATAATTAAAAAGGACCAACAACCAAAAAGATGCAGTATTCCCATGCATTTCCCGAACTAGCCTTGCCAACAGACCAGGAAGAGCAACACTGAGTACGGACATAGACAATTAAAGTGCCTACACGAAAACCAGCGTGCAACAGAGAAAAAACACTGGCTACATTTTTGGTTGAAAAGTGCAACAGTTTCAAATGATCCCTCAGAGACCAGATCTCTTTGGACTGCAATTAGCAAGTCAGCAATAAACACAAAGCATGCCTTTATTGAGAGGAAGTCATAGTGGAAACTGCATTATGTAAGACAACAAAAACACTACAAATCGATGAGGAGTTTTCTCCCATCTCCTCCCTAACTCACAGGAGCATGCAGGTCAGGCGACGGGAACTGGAACCCCTGTGAGGGCTGGGTAGGTCCAGTGATTCTAGACCAGGGGTGGGCAAACTTTTTGACTCGAGGCCACAATGGGTTCTTAAACTGGACCGGAGGGCCGGAACAAAAGCATGGATGGAGTGTTTGTGTGAACTAATATAAATTCAAAGTAAACATCATTACATAAAAGGGTACGGTCTTTTTTTTTTAGTTTTATTCATTTCAAACGGGCCGAATCCGGCCCGCGGGCCGTAGTTTGCCCACCGCTGTTCTAGACCATGCCTGGCTTGTTTTCACCCCGACTCTGGGGGGACCAGGCCACTAAGGGCAGGTTCTGTTAAGTAAAACCCAGCCAGCTCTGTCTCAGCTGTGAAGCAGCTTGCAGAGTGCACTGGGAGTTTGTTCTACGTAACAAATCGCTTTATGTTTAGGCCACACGGGGGCACTTTCACTCAGCAGGATATATGAGGTCAAAAACCGCATCAGTACTCAAGGTAAAAACCACGTCTAGCAATTCCTTTGGGCAAAGGCCTTAGTTCACCACTTCAGTTTTAGGGACCAAGGAAGGGACCCCAACTCTGCAAAGCTCCAGCTGGTCAAGTAGCCCCCAGGATGAGCCAGGGGCCCACTGGCCAGTGTGGTCTACACACAGGCAACAGGAGAGAGACTCAATGCAAAACCGGAAGTTTAAAAACTTTAACAATTTATTAGTCTTATTTTCCAGTAAAATATTCACATAATGTCCAAAGAATGGAATGATAGAATGTCATTGGCTAATTCCACATAAATATTTAAAATCTAAAAACTTCAGAGGATCATCAGACTGAGTAGAAATTTGATTCTTCAAAGCAAGTATTGCTTTACTATTGTCATTAATCCAGTCAATAATATGACCAATAACCTGCAGTGTAAACAGAACGCTTGCTGAGTGGCTTTTTAAAAGATGCTTCTGTGAGCCGTTACCCGTCAATCCAAGAAGAAGATGTTATTGAACTGCGTGGCGCAAAGTTTCTTTACCTCCTCTGCAGGAAGAACAGAAAGCAGTGAGTAAGGGAGAGCTTTTCACTCAAAGGTTATATGATACATATTAGTACCTTAAATTCTTCTGGAATAAAGTTGGGAATAAGTAATTATCTGCATTAATGTTGATCTTATTTCTAAGAAGCTGAGGCAAGAAACATTAATAAACTAGGAGAAAGAAAAAGCCTAACATGCCCACGAGACTTCAGTGCTATTTAACAGAGACACACTGCCTCTTCGAGCCTGAGAAAGCTCAAACCCAGCACCCACAGGGCCTGAGACACCCACGGTGAGGGCCTTAGGAGCACAACTTCTAAAATCTTGAGAACTCTGATGCAAGCACGAACTCCAGCTGCAGCCATGACCTGTGGACCAGGTGCTCCAGCGGCCTCTCTCTCGTGACGACTCAATTCCCATTGTACTGAGCCACGGCCTCACTGCGGTTTCTAACACACACAACTATGCATGTGTTACTAGGATAGAGAAATGGAATATGCCCTCGGAGATACCTGCAGAAAAAGCTCACACCTAACGTTGCTGACAGGTGGCAGGCACTTGGGTACATCCCAACTGTCCACTCCCTGCTGTCTCTTGCAGAGCCGCACCGGGGTTGGGTGCAGGGAAGGTGACACCACCCTTGCCTCCAGGCCAGCACAAAGCAGCTGCTGGGATCGCAGTGTGCGGAGGACAGACCGGCTCTGGCTGGAGCGGGAGGCACACCCCAGCGTTACTGCTCCCGCACAGAGTGGCTGTCATTGCTTCATGAGCCTGGCTGCCCTGCTTCAAAGGGCGCATTCTCACCCAGGAAGAAAGAAAGACCATTTCATCCACAGTATGTGAAGCCGTGGGATTTTCTCCTTTGGCCTCATAAAAATAATTTTCCTTTGGCCATTGTCAAGTTTCCCGTGACACGGGCAAGTTTTTCACATACTTTTTCAAGGAACTAATCTACAGAAAAACAGACTGGATCAAAAGGTTTCCTCCGAGCAGCGGAAGCATCTGCTTGAAATCGCAACAGTCGTGCTGTTCTATTGAGCATGTGTCTCAGTACAATGAAGACAGTGGTTTTTAAATATCAGAAGCATTAACATTGTGCTCAAATGCCAAATCCTATTTACCATTTACTTCAATCAGGTTTGCATTTTTTTGATTCAAAATAACATAGAGCTCCCGCTGGTCAGACTTTTTCCCAACAACCCAATAATCACTCATGGCTTTCACGATGATTTCCTCATCTTCGTCCACCCTGCAAGACAAGAGTTTCAAAATGCAGTCGTTTATTACAAACAGAGCCAGACTGGGAGAAACTATCTACAACAGGAAATCTCAGTCATCTGAGAACTCCAGGGAGTCCCGTACGAGTGACCCGAAGCTTTGGGCTGACTGATGGGTCTGGAAGCCCAGAGAGGTGGTCGAGCCTCTCTAAAGGGCAGTGGTCACTGGGTTTTGAAGACAATTCCCTTAATCCTACCAGACCTGAGGCCCTGAACCTAACTGTCCCCTATACCTGGGCTTCTGAGCATTAAAGAGAAAAAACCAACATGATATAGAAAAATGTTAGTTACATGCAAACAAGTGGTTAGAATAAGATGGAACTTGGAGACATTGTAGAAAATAGGTCTACCTTTCATCTAGCGCCAATATTCCACCTTTGTGTGGAAATTACCGAAAAATCGGTACAGCGGTCTGGTAGGGTCTCTGCTGATTAGAAGGGGGCACCTCGCTTGAGAGGTGGTCAGAATTACCTGGTGAAGTCACTGTTGATGTCACCCAGAATCTTCATCAGATCCGGGTGAACAGATGTCAGCGACACACTGGGTGTTTTTCTCATGTGAATCGTACTTTTTTCCGCTAAATTCATGTGGTTGAAGTAGATAAACTTAAACTGGGGTTCTTTCTCAGACCTGTGAGAACAGAGCAGTGAATGTAACGTTCTGAAAGGGTTCTCCAAGTGACACAAGGACACTGTTCAAACTTGGAACCGTGTGGCTGGGCCCTGGACTTCCCACTGCTGGGCCTTCCCGTCGAGAAACTGCATGAAGGTGTGACAGGCTCCTCATTCATTCGTGTGAGGAGCCTGTTACATTTACGTGATATCTGTGAGGTCCCAATCTGACGGAATTTTCCAGAGGGCTGAAGTGTATTGTTTAAAAAATAAAAATAGTTACACCATTTTATGACTTTCTCAATAAAAGTACAATGTTTTATAAATGGCAATCACTCAGTTATTCCCTGAATTTTCTGTTTAAAAAAAAGGGGGGGGGAGGGCAAACTAAATGAATACAGACTATGTATCTTTGGCCCCGTTTTTCTAAATAAAGTCTTACTGGAACATGGCCACACCTCATGTTAATGTACTGCCTGTGCTGCTTTCACACAAACCACCATTGAGGAGGTGTAACATATACAGCCACGAAATCTAACATACTTACTACTCGGCCCTTTTCAGAAGTCTGCTGGCCCATTAGGAGAGTAACATCTCCTTTATCCCACAGAACCGGGAACACACGTGTTCATGTGTGAATCGGTCACAGAACTGAAGCTAACTACTGTTAACTAGCAACACTGCACCCTCCTCAGTGGAGATCAGCCTTTCTGCTGAAGGATGATAAACATTTAGTTGGGATGCAGCTTCAATTACTGTAAATGAGTAGGCGCTACCCCACTGCCCCCCAGGTCAGGGCCTGCGACTTCTCAGGGTCCCACCCAGACAGCTGGGCCACTAGGTCCAGGGCCTCCTGCCCTCCCCTCTCACTGTGCCCTCACTTAAGTCACAGTCTGGGGTCTGGGTGAGAGGCTGAGCGGCCCTGCCACTGGGGGCTCAGGGCCTCTGCTTACTGCAGGGCTTGCAGCCACGTCCTGGGGCTGAGGGTGCGGAAGTCCGCCCCCTGGGTAAGTGGGTTATTACTGTAATACTGTGCATCTAGGCAAAGAAAGTATGTAATAGCTTAGTGTCCAGGAAAATGAAAAGGGAATTCTTATAGAAGCAGAATTTTTGTCGTTGTTAACCCTCACACAGGGTTTTTTTCTCCACCGGGCTGGTCGAGTGGGATGTGGGGTGTGGGCGGTCTCTCACAGGCCAAGCCTATGGGCAGAGCGGGCACACCTCAGCACATACGCTCATGCCACAACCAGGGCAGGCCAGCCCAACCATCAGCGTGGGCAGAAAACTCAGGAGCAGCTCCCCCGGAGCCTTTCCGACAGGACTGAGCTCTCTGCTGTTCTCTGGGGGCGGAGGGAACGCGAATGATACTGTCCGTTTGCTTAAGGAGAAACCCCCTGACTCTCCCAAGCCCCGTTACATGCTGGGAAGGAAACACAAAGTAAAGCACTAACCCAGATGCTCTTTTGTTGACGTTAAATTGCTCACAAATGTCTGATGCCAGCACCGTGAGCTGGGGCCCCACAATGCTGTCCAGTCTTCGGCAAAAGTCCAATGTAGGCTGCACGGAGGCTAGCAGGTGAGGCAGAAAAGCAGTGAGTGCGACCATGCTCTGGGGTAAAAAGGTCAATGTTCATTTACTGTCTTGAGAACAATTTTGCCGTCTTTACTGAATTAACAATTCAAACCTTTACTGGATCTGGGAGATGAGGCAATTAAATGATCAGATCTCCCTGCCCATCCTCTCTCCCCCTCAATAGAAGAGAAACAGAAAAATCAAAATTATATTTAAGATGGAAAAAAACAGCAAAAGCAAAGACGTCTCACTGAGAATGTTGACGTAAGCATGTGCTGTGGGTGGTAAACGGGCTGTCCACCCCAAGTCGACCCAAGAAGGTCTAATATTTAACAAACATTACACAGCACGGATGGGCCACGTCTGGGGCTCTTCAAATGTGACCTCATTTAACTCGCAAAGCCCCCTAGACAGGTGCCTCTGTTACCTCCCACAGTCAGGGGGGCACGGGTCCTGCTGCTGACAAGGACTTGACTTCCCTCGATGCTGCTATGACAACATGTTGACCATTTAGGAACAGAACACAGCGAATTGTAGAGAGAGAAGGCTTGGCTAAGGCTGGAGTCAGACACAGGGGTGTACCTACCGTCAATCATGAAGCACACAGCCGCGCTCATGGCCTGGGAGGAAAAACACACCGCGGTTACAAGGCGGCAC